ATTTTTTATATTTTTAAATAAAATTTATAGTTAATCTATAAAATAAGCATATTATTTTATCCTAAAAAATTTTATATAATTTCAAAGTAAATTATGTTTCTTATGAATATCCATACTAATATAATAAATTAATTTTTATCTAGAAACATGATTATATCAACTAAAATTCTGAAAAAAAATATTTCTATTTTATTATTTATTAAAATATTTAATATCTTTTTTTAAGATACTCAAATAACTAATTTTCTTTTTATTTTCTAAAATACAAAAAAAAAACTCAAATTAATCATAAAAAAAATAATCAAAAAATACATTGAAAGTATATCATTACACTCTATTCTAAAAAATGGATAAAATTGCCATCTAAAATCTAAAATGCAATATGCATCCAAATAAAGATCTTCAATTTATTTAAGTTAATGATGTCCTAGCAGAACCTAATTCCCCTAAACCTCTCTTTTACTGTTCTTCCTGTTTTAATCATGATCTTCACTTTAAATCTATCAACTATCTTATGATCGACCAGATTTTTTAAGAAGCAGACAATAACATTATCCCAAAATGGCCACCAGTCAATAACTATCAAATAATCTCAGATCTCATTGATCTTACATCAAATTAATCTTCACTTGACTATGTCAAGCAAATTACAAACTTCTTTAATCAACTCAAAGAAGAGTTTTTAAATAAAATAGATGTTATCTAAAAAAAAATGATCAATGAAGCCTTGAAATATCCTATTGATAGATAGCATATTATCAAAAGATACTAAGAAGTTTCAAACATTCTTTAGCTTAAGTAGCTTCTTAACAATCAAAAATCAAATAATCTCCAAGATTATTCAATTCTCTGTAAAGAATTTATCTCTCAAATGGAGTCTCAAAAAGATAAAAACACAGAATAATTGTAAAGTCTGCTTACCTAAGCAAATTAATTGTAAACGAATTTCAACATGGAATATCCTCACATCATTAAAAAGTAATTATTAACTTTTATTGACCAAATTTCTTTCTTCAATTTAGATATTCCTGAATTCAGCAGTGCAAATCATGATAACAATAGAAATCATTTGGAAACTAATATTAGAAATCAAAATAACTAAACTGGAGATTTAAAATTAACATCTGAATTAATCATGAAGCTTGTTTCTAATAAATCAAACTTTTGCTCTGACTAATTCTTAAGCAAATTAAGTGAGAATCTTTAAAGTATAAACCCTATTCTTAAATAGTTTAGTTTCAGCACAACAATTTTCAAGGAGAATAAAGAATAAATTGACTTTTCCAAGATTAGTGAGGAAAAGATAAATTTAATAGAAGAATATGTTAAGCATTCAATAGCTTTGTAAAGAGGGGAATAGTAATTTGAATAGGAAGTAAAGGATAGTTTAGAAATCAAATAAATGACTTAAATTGTAGATTCTAAAATCAATTTCTTGAGCTAAGAATTCAATTAATAGTTTGAAAAGTTCTTAGTTGATGTAAAACCTTTCTTAAAATAGATTAATTTCACTAATACTTTTACTGATAAAAATAAATTTGACTTGTTCAGAAATTTTAAACATTAAAAATGGAACGCTTTATTTTAGGAAAATCTACCTAATTTAGATCTAAAATTGTTTGTAACTTAGTTACATGGCGGGTAGAATAGATGTGTGGTAAATAAAAAAGAAAATGGTTATTATGAAATTGAATGTTTAGAACATAGTAATTTTTGGCTGAATTGTATATCAAATACAAATTTATAAAAAGATTAGAAGTATATTTTTAGGATAAAAGCTGAATGTCTAAATCAAGATGATCGATTTAATATAGGTCTAATGAGAAATTTATAGGCTAATTAAGTTGCAGGACCGAATTAGTATTTAAGCTGTGATTTAAAGAAAGATAATCAATCTGTAATTAAATCTAAATATAATTATGGTATTGATAAATAATTAAAGGGAGCAGGATTTAAAACAAGTGGAGAGAATATGATAGAACTAAGATTGTGTATGAAAGAGTAGATTCTAGAAGTATTAGATTATCCGAATTATGAGTATAAGCTAGGATTAGAGGATAAATATAAAGAAAAGCTTACATAATTTGATGATCTAAGATTTTATCTTAACATCGATTAATAAGGAAACAAATTAATTTTAATGGATGTAAAAATAGTGAATGAGTTTATAAATTGAATTAAATTTATAAGTAATAACAATAATATAATATTCGATATAATTTTATTTTTCATATTTAAAAATTTAAAAAACTAATTAATTTGATAATGTGTATTTTTAAGAAAATTGTTTAAAAATTAATAATTAGCTAAAAAAATAATATTTTTCTCAAATAATTTTTTATTTTTAAAAAAAATTTAAAGCTTATTCTAAAAAATAAATTATCATATTTTATCCTCTAATTTTTTATATAATTTGAAAATAAATAATGTTTCTTATGAATATTCTATTATTATTAATTAATTTTAATCTAGAAACACTTTAAGATATAATTAAAATTCTGAAAAATATAGTTTTAATTTATTATTTATTTATTAAAGTATTTAAAATATTTTTATAAGATACTCAAATTAGTAGCTTTCTTTTTAATTTCTAAAATACATAAAACTCAAATAATTAACCATAAAAAAAATCAAAAAGAGATTGAAAAAATATCTATCTACTCACTTTAATCTTATAAATGGATAAAATTACAATCTAAAATCTAAAATGCAATAAGCATCCAAATAAAGACCTTCAATTTATTTAAGTAAATGATGTCCTAGCACAACCTAATTCCACTAAACCTCTCTTTTACTGTTCTTCCTGTTTTAATCATGATCTTCACTTTAAATCTATCAACTATCTTATGATCGACCAGATCTTTTAAGAAGCAGACAATAACATTATCCCAAAATGGCCGCCAGTCAATAACTATCAAATAATCTCAGATCTCATCGATCTTACATCAAATTAATCTTAACTTGACTATGTCGAGCTAATTACAAACTTCTTTAATCAACTCAAAGAAGAGTTTTTAAATAAAATAGATGTTATCTAAAAAAAAATGATCAATGAAGCCTTGAAATACCCTATTGATAGATAGCATATTATCGAAAGATACTAAGAAGTTTCAAACATTCATTAGCTTAAGTAGCTTCTTAACAATGAAAAATCAAATAATCTCCAAGATTATTCAATTCTCTGTAAAGAATTTATCTCTCAAATGGAGTCTTAAAAAGATAAAAACACAGAATAGTTGTTAAGTCTGCTTACCTAAGCAAATTAATTGTAAACGAATTTCAACATGGAATATCCTCACATCATTAAAAAGTAATTATTTACTTTTATTGACCAAATTTCTTTCTTCAATTTAGATATTCCTGAATTCAGCAGTTCAAATCATGATAACAATAGAAATCATTTGGAAACTAATATTAGAAATCAAAATAACTAAACTGGATATTTAAAATTAACATCTGAATTAATCATGAAGCTTGTTTCTAATAAATCAAACTTTTGCTCTGACCAATTCTTAAGCAAGTTAAGTGAGAATCTTTAAAGTATAAACCCTATTCTTAAATAGTTTAGTTTCAGCACAACAGTTTTCAAGGAGAATAAAGAATAAATTGACTTTTCCAAGATTAGTGAGGAAAAAATAAATTTGATAGAAGAATATGTTAAGCATTCAATAGCTTCGTAAAGAGGGGAATAGTAATTTGAATAGGAAGTAAAGAATAGTTTAGAAATAAAATAAATTACTTAAATTGTAGATTCTAAAATCAATTTCTTGAGCTAAGAATTCAGATAATAGTTTGAAAAGTTCTTAGTTGATGTAAAACCTTTCTTAAAATAGATTAATTTCACTAATACTTTTACTGACAAAAATAAATTTGACTTCTTCAGAAATTTAAGCAATGGAAAATTGAATACTTTATTTTAGGAAAATCTACCTAATTTAGATTTAAAATTATTTGTAACTTAGTATGGGAACTGGTAGAGAAATTGTGTGGTAAATAAAAAAGAAAATGGTTATTATGAAATTGAATGTTTAAAAAAAAGTGATTATTGGCTGAATTGTATATCAAATACAAATTTATAAAAAGATTAGAAGTATATTTTTAGGATAAAAGTTGAAAGTCTAAATGAAGGTAAAGAATTTATAATAGGTCTAATGAGGAATTCATAGGCTGATTAAGTTGTAGGATATAATGAATATTTAAGCTGTCGCTTATAGAAAAATAATCAATCTGTAATTAAATCTGAAAATGATGGTATTGATAAATAATTAAAGGGAGCAGGATTTAAAACAAGTGGAGAGAATATGATAGAACTAAGATTATGTTTGAAAGAGTAGGTTCTAGAAGTATTAGATTATCCGAATTATGAGTATAAGTTAGGATTAGAGGATAAATATAAAGAGAAGCTTATATAATTAGATGATCTAAGATTTTATCTTGGCATTGGTAATTAAGATAACAAATTAATTTTAATGGATGTAAAAATAGTGAATGAGTTTATAGACTGAATTAAATTTTATAAATAATAACAATAATATAATATTTGATAGATCTTTTTATTTTTCTTATTTAAAAATTTGAAAAATTATAAAATTTGCTAAAAGTGTATTTATTTTTGCATAAATTTTGTAAACTAAAATCATTTTTTATATTTTAAATAAAATTTATAGTTAATCTATAAAATTATAAAATAAGCATATTATTTTATCCTAAAAAATAAATTTTATATAATTTGAAAGTAAATTATGTTTCTTATGAATATCCATACTAATATTATAAATTCATTTTTATCTAGAAACATGATTATATAAACCAAAATTCTGAAAAAAAATAGTTCTATTTTATTATTTATTAAAATATTTAATATCTTTTTATAAGATACTCAAATAAATAACTAATTTTCTTTTTATTTTCTAAAATACAAAAAAAAAAACTCAAATTAATCATAAAAAAAATAATCAATAAATATATTGAAAATATATCATCACATTCTATTCTAAAAAATGGATAAAATTGCCATCTAAAATCTAAAATGCAATAAGCATCCAAATAAAGACCTTCAATTTATTTAAGTAAATGATGTCTTAGCACAACCTAATTCCACTAAACCTCTCTTTTACTGTTCTTCCTGTTTTAATCATGATCTTCACTTTAAATCTATCAACTATCTTATGATCGACCAGATTTTTTAAGAAGCAGACAATAACATTATCCCAAAATGGCCGCCAGTCAATAACTATCAAATAATCTCAGATCTCATTGATCTTACATCAAATTAATCTTCACTTGACTATGTCAAGCAAATTACAAACTTCTTTAATCAACTCAAAGAAGAGTTTTTAAATAAAATAGATGTTATCTAAAAAAAAATGATCAATGAAGCCTTGAAATATCCTATTGATAGATAGCATATTATCAAAAGATACTAAGAAGTTTCAAACATTCTTTAGCTTAAGTAGCTTCTTAACAATGAAAAATCAAATAATCTCCAAGATTATTCAATTCTCTGTAAAGAATTTATCTCTCAAATGGAGTCTCAAAAAGATAAAAACACAGAATAATTGTAAAGTCTGCTTACCTAAGCAAATTAATTGTAAACGAATTTCAACATGGAATATCCTCACATCATTAAAAAGTAATTATTAACTTTTATTGACCAAATTTCTTTCTTCAATTTAGATATTCCTGAATTCAGCAGTGCAAATCATGATAACAATAGAAATCATTTTGAAACTAATATTAGAAATCAAAATAACTAAACTGGAGATTTAAAATTAACATCTGAATTAATCATGAAGCTTGTTTCTAATAAATCAAACTTTTGCTCTGACTAATTCTTAAGCAAGTTAAGTGAGAATCTTTAAAGTATAAATCCTATTCTTAAATAGTTTAGTTTCAGCACAACAATTTTCAAGGAGAATAAAGAGTAAATTGACTTTTCCAAGATTAGTGAGGAAAAGATAAATTTAATAGAAGAATATGTTAAGCATTCAATAGCTTTGTAAAGAGGGGAATAGTAATTTGAATAGGAAGTAAAGGATAGTTTAGAAATCAAATAAATGACTTAAATTGTAGATTCTAAAATCAATTTCTTGAGCTAAGAATTCAATTAATAGTTTGAAAAGTTCTTAATTGATGTAAAACCTTTCTTAAAATAGATTAATTTCACTAATACTTTTACTGACAAAAATAAATTTGACATCTTCAGAAATTTTAAACATGAAAAATGGAACGCTTTATTTTAGGAAAATCTACCTAATTTAGATCTAAAATTGTTTGTTACTTAGTTTTATGACGGGTAGAATAAATGTGTGGTAAATAAAAAAGAAAATGGTTATTATGAAATTGAATGTTTAGAAGAAAGTAATTATTGGCTGAATTGTATATCAAATACAAATTTATAAAAAGATTAGAAGTATATTTTTAGGATAAAAGTTGAAAGTTTAAATCAAGGTAAAATCTTTACAATAGGTCTAATGAGAAATTCAAAGGCTTATTAAAATGCCGGATTGAATGAGCATTTAAGCTGTGAGTTAAAGAAAGATAATCAATCTGTAATTAAATCTGAAGATAATTATGGTATTGATAAATAATTAAAGGGATCAGGATTTAAAACAAGTGGAGAGAATATGATAGAACTAAGATTGTGTATGAAAGAGTAGATTCTAGAAGTATTAGATTATCCGAATTATGAGTATAAGTTAGGATTAGAGGATAAATATAAAGAGAAGCTTACATAATTTGATGATCTAAGATTTTATCTTGGCATTGGTAATTAAGGTGAGAAATATATTTTAATGGATGTAAAAATAGTGTATGAGTTAAAAAATTGAATTAAATTTTATAAATAATAACGATAATATAATATTCGATAGATATTTTTATTTTTCTTATTTAAAAATTTGAAAAGTTATAAAATTTGCTCAAAGTATAAAAAATTTAGATTTTTTACTTATTTTTATTGTTTTTTCAGGTTCAAAACCTAATTATTTCGATAAATACCTTTTTATATTATTTTGGGTTTTCTTTTAATTTATAAAATAAAATTTATTTTTTATTCTACTAAATATCTATTTCCAATTAAAGAAATAATTATTCGAGGATAGTAATATCACCTAAAAATAATTTCAAATACATTAATAAATATTTATAATCATTAATTACCAAACCATAAAAAAAATGATAATATGAATATTTTCAAACTCTAATCCTTAATGATAATTTTATTTTTTGAAAGAAAATTAAAATAATTTAGAAAATAATTCTTATATTTTTATTGATAAAAAAGATTGTTTGCTTAAAAGAAATTAGATAGGAATATAATTTTCTTTTAAGTCTTTAATTTTCTTAATTGATACTAACTCAGATACATATTTAATTTTAATATCAATGAAATTAAAATCATATTTATTTATTCACTTAGCAATTAATATTTAAACATTAATAAATAATATTTGATACTTTATTGATATTTTGATAAAGAAATAAGCTCAACAGTACTCAATTTAATTAAAAAATATTTGGTAAAATTAAATATTAATATTGAGAATGAATATGTTTCTAATTAAAGTAGATTCAGTTATTTTAATTTAGCATAATTTTTTAAGTAAATTAACCAACTTTTTTTTAATTTCACATAAATCAATTAATCTACAAATAATTTATTTCTTAAAACTAAAAAATTGTTACCATTTTATATTTTAATTTTAGTTTTATGAAATCATGGTTGAAAAGCAAATTCTCTTATTTATTTTAGGCTGAATCTGTTTTTTAAGATAAATAGGTCTAATTATAATTCTTATAAATTAACATTAAATAATTTCTTTTAAAGTAAATTCTACATTTTAAATTCTAATTTTAATATTTAATGTAAAAACGAATAATGATTAAAATATAAATAGTTAATCTATATTAGACGATTTATTTAAGATTCGTAAATAGAATTTAAATAATAAGTAATAAGCTTTTTTTATTTAATCAGATATTAAATTCTTATTAATAGTATAAGATTTTTTTAAATTATTGAAAAAATAAGAATATGAAATTAAATTTTTTTATATTTTTTTTATTTGTTGAAATTTTGATTTATTTTTTTCTAAATGTTGTTTTTTATAATGATCGTTTTTAATTTAAAGTATTATTTATTGCATTTTTTTACTATCAAAATAAATTTAAGAGCAATTCTAATTAATAAATTAATAAATTTTTTCGTTTAAATGAGTTGAATTTTTGTTTAAATTGGATTTAGATTTTTTATTGAAAGAATGAATTATATTTTATGGTCTTATGTATGAATGAATATTTGCATACTTGCATGAATTTTCTTAATTTTTGTATTGGTTTTTTGTATAAATAAATTTATTTAAAGATATGTTCAAAATTATAAATTAAATGACAGAGATACTTTAAATTTATTTATTTATTTGCTGTAGTAGAATTACACCGCCTACCAATAAAAAATTAGGGAATATTTTGCATCATTTTATAATTGCTTTGTTCATAAAAAAGAAATGAGATACAAACAGACAAATATCAGAAAAAAAGAAAGAATAAAGAGAGAAAATACATAGAAAACTAAAAATAACATCCCATTTCTTAATAAATTGATTGAATTATTAATTAACTAATTAATTTACTAAGTTATTAATAATTTTCATTGCTTTTGATAAAAAGTAAACAATCTTTGTTAAAAATTGAATAATTAACATTCAATCAATTTATTTAATAAATCAATCTCACATAGTCCATTAAAAGGTTTAATAAAGTTGTTCTGCCAAAACCATAAAATTAAGGAAAAGCGCATTAATAGCTCCAATTTGAACAAGCACTAGCAGAGATAAATTTAGCATATTTTAGATTCAACATTAATATCACTATTACTATCGAATGTACGACTATAAAACAGAGAAAGGCAATAAAAATTTACCATAGTCATGCAAGCCTGATATACACCCTTAATAGACAAGGCATGAATTCGGATCTATTGTTTTTGATAGTCGATTCGATTCAGGCAATTTAGAGAAAGTGGAAAGAAACAGCTCACTTAAGAACAATCATGTAATATTTTTATAAAAAGTTAAGAAAAAAAATCTAAAATAAGATTTTGTTCAGCTCACATTTTTATTTTCTTTTTGATTCCTAAATCTATTTATTCAAAAGTATTCAATTTATAAATAGTTTAATCTTTGGATCTGCAATGACTGCAAAGGCACTCAAAAAGCAACTAATTATAGGACTTGGTTCTACTTTTCTGTGACAGGAGTGAACGCAGAGACAACACTTACTTTCACCATTATGAATCTCAACTTTTAAGTAACAAAATACAATAAGCATTTAATAGCTAATTTGATTGATTAAATATATGAATGAATGAATGTATTGCATTGATTAACGAATTAAAATTATAAATTTAAATCTATTTAATCTATAAGAGTTATATTAGCTAATAAAATCATCATTCATTTAAATACAACACTTATTTATTTATTAAGTATTAACCTTATTGATCTCTCTCTATAAAGAAACAAAGCAAGCAAGCAAGCAAACAAATAAATAAATCAATTGGTCATAACAAACTCATTAATAAATACGAACCTTCTTATCAAATTTACTATTTCTTTCAATAAATTCCTATTTTTAAATTACGCATCATTTTTATTCTGTCACAATCCCTAAAATAAACTATTTCAAATCTAACTTCTGCATTTATCTCACTCCTCTTACAATCAAATTTCTTTAAAATTATTAAATAACTAAATTTTCAAAAATTCTAACTGCCATAAATATAAATAAATAAATAACTAAAGCTATATTAAATTTTATAAAATATTTAATGTGTAAAATAAATTAATATTTTTTTATTTTTTGAGAAATAAATAAGTGAACAGGTGTGTAAAATTAAATTTAGAATAAATTTCAAATTATGAAAATAGTTTATTTTTTATTTTTTAGGGTGTATTTCAAAATAAATTTAATTGACATTTAATTTTAATAAATATTTTTTATCGTTTAGAATAAAATGTTTAGAGAAGGAATGCAACCAACTTTTAAAAGTTCTTTATCAAATGCATGGTAGAGAGTTAAATCGAACATTGCTAGCACTATGGTAAAACATGAAAGAATGAATTAACATAAAAATGCTAATCTTAATATTTTAAATAGGAAAATAATGATAATGGATTAGAAATTACTTGGACTCATAAATTTGAATCTGCTGAAGAGAAAGTGTGGTTTTCTTTCACATATCCTTTCAGCTATGAAGATAACGAAGTAATTGATTTTATTTACTTAAAAATAAATTTCATAGCTTAAATATTAATTTAGATTTCCTCATTTTTTAAATTTAAATAAGAAAGAATTATTTAATTTTTATGAAATAATTCATTTTATTTATTTATTTAAAAATTGATAAATTTTTTTAATTTTAATAGAAATTCTTAAAAGAATATGAGTAGGCTTATGAAAATGATAACGAAATTTATATGCATAGATGTACATTAATTAAATCAAAGGAGGATAGAAAAATTGAGTTACTCACAATATCCTCTTAAAGCAATAAGTTAAACCAGCAAGAGAAGGCCCTACCAAATTTGTTTACTGATCCAGAGTCTTCTCGTCCAGCTTTGTAAATAGATTGTTTAATATTCAAAATAATTAAACAAATAAAAATCAAAATAGATTCAAGAATAAAAAATATGTTTTTTTCTCAGCCAGAGTTCATCCAGGAGAAACTCCAGGTTCTCACGTTTTCAATGGTATCATTAAACTCCTTTTAAACAAAGATGATGCCAGAGCCAAAGTTTTAAGAGATAATTTTGTATTCTACTGTATTCCTATGATCAATCCAGATGGAGTTTATAGAGGACACTACAGAACAGATACAAACGGACTCAATTTAAACAGATTTTACATAAACCCCTCATAGACCGTAATTAATTTACTTAATATTTTAATCATTTGCTTAAACAAATAGCCACTAAAACTAAAGTTATTTAGATAATAATAGGATAAAAGATTTATAATATTAAAACATAAAAGCAAAAAATAATCTTAGCTCCTACATCCAATTAGTGTGTTGTATTGAAAATATTATTAAATTTTTAATGATAAACAAATAAAATGAAAAATGAAATAAACTAATCAAATACTTAAAACTCAATTTATCAACAAATTTTGAGCCAAATAAATAAATAAATAAAAAGGAAAAATACTTTAAGACATTCAATCAAATAAATAATAGAAAATTTAATTAAAATTACTCAATTGTTTAATTAAGTTAACAAAAGATGTTTCAAAACAGTAAGAATTATTTAGCTTTGATAGCAAATTTGTTACAATTATTAAAGATTTTCATTTTTTTAGTCAGAATCGTTATGCTTTTATTTAGATAATAAATATCTAAATTTAAATTGGCAAATTAAATTTTATACATTAAGAATTATAAAATTAAATAGTTGTTTGTGAGTTAAAAAGCAAAGTGATATTTAATTTGATAAAAAAGAATAACTTTAATATTAATAAATAGGAACATCCATCGGTTTATGCGATAAAAGAATTAATTTTACATTTAAATGAGACTAAGAGACTTCATTGTTATATTGATTTGCATGCACATGCTACTAAAAAGGGTGCTTTCATTTATGGAAACTGCCTTGATCTCAAAGATCAACTTGATACTTGTTTATTCCCAAGACTTCTTTCATTAAATTCTCCTTATTTTGAATATGATTCATGCAATTTCACTGAGAAAAATATGTATTGCAAGGACAAGGGAGATGGACTCTCGAAAGAAGGTGCTGGAAGAGTGGCTTTGTATAAAGTAAATTAAATTTTAAAAGCAAATTTAAGCTAAAATTATATTGATTAATTGAAATAGGCTACTAAATTGAATTTATGCTACACTCTTGAGTGTAACTATAATACAGGGACATATACTAATAAATTGTTTGATTACAATAACACTTAAAGTGAAAACGACAAAAAGGATCCAGATTAGTACGATTAAGATATTATTGTAAACGGAATCGATCTCCAACCTTTAAAAAATACTACATTTTACACAATTGAAATATTTGAATAAGTTGGAGAGGGAATATGTGATGCTCTTCTTGATTACTCCTCTATTCATCCTAACTCCAGAATTCCAAACACTCCATACAAATCTTTAGCAGTAAATTATTTCTTAAAATAAATAAGTTAACTTTATAAAGTAACAAGCAATATATCTATCATATCTACAAAGAAATTCATGAACGGAAACAACAATAAAAGCACATTTATATTAAACAATTATTAAATAAAATATAATTTAATCAATGAAAAAAGAAAGAACTTGAACATTTTTTTCAAAATCAAAAAATGTTGAATTAATAATTTTCTATTTCATTAATTAATTTATTTTAGATTTCTCAGAAATTTCAAAAGAGATAAATAATATTTTAATCGAAAACAATTTTAATTTAACAAAATAAATTTTTATTTAAAAAATCTATTTGAAAAGATGATTTGATAAAGACTTTAATTGATTAAATGAATTAAAAATTTTATTTTTATAAAATAAGAATATTAAGATGAGAATGGCTTACAATTTAATGAGAATCACTCCATTTAGATTTTGCTAATACTTACGTAAAGTTTTAAGATATATTTCGATAAATGAGAATTTAGAGAGAGTTTTAAAATGTCTTTGGATTTATTTGCACACTGGCATAAAAAATGATATCGCTGATAATACAAAGCCTTTAGTGCAGAAAGCACCTAACGAGAATTCTAATAAGCTAAATCCTTTAAAGAGATAGGCAACTATGTAAAAAAAATAAATTACATCAGATAAAAACTAAACACCTAACCCATCTTTGCTGTCTAAGAAGTAGATTAATGCGAGCTAGGAAAGGAAAATAGTTTAATTGCCTACTTCTTAACTTATTGGACCAACTAGCCCAGAAAATGAAATAAAAATAATTTCAGAAATGCTAATAAATGTGAATAATTATAATAAAAAACGACCATTAAGTTAGAGATAAGAAAGACAAGTCAGTATTTTCTAAGATATCAACATACTTGAAGGTAAAAGGTATTACAATATAGAAACAGATCAAACAAATCAAAATAATAATGATGCTGAAGATGACTAAAGCGAAGGTGGACAAGAAGAAAAAGAAGAAATAAAAAATTTCAATGATTAACAAATTCAAAGCTATTAATTCAAAAATTATAATCTTGTAGGATAAAATAACTAATCGCAATAAGCTTATTTTTCTGAAAATAATATTACTCAAGAGTATACTCCTTAGTCTGTAAATATAAACAGAGAGAAAATTAAGAAAATAGTTTCAAATACTCCTTATATGCAAAAACTCGACGAGAGTTTTTCCCAGAGTATGAATTGTAATTTAATTTCAGATAAAATTGATGATTTAGTCAATCAGCAAGGAAAATTTGCAAGATAAACTGAATATTAAATGCCTTAATTGAGTATTTAAGAACAGTACAAAATGACATAAGCACTCCCAAAAAGACCCACTTCTAAAAGATTGAATCACTCTTACATAAGAAAAAACACAATTTAATAAATTTAACCAGTTTTAATGCAGCAATAAAATACCAATAAGCCATTAAATGACCTCAGTAATTAATATGATTAAAATTATTCCTTAAACAACTAAAATTAAACAATCAGCTCTAATTAAAACATCTTTAGTCCTTAATCATAGCCTTCCAATCTTACATAAAACCAAGAAAACAAAGATTCTCTCAAATTTAATATGATAAAAGTGTCTGACAGCAAGCCATACATTTCAGAGTAAAATTTATTCTTATTTATTATTAAATTAGGAGGTATTTATTCATAATATTTGATGAAATCTAAAAATTTTAAACAAATTAAATAAAATGATCAAATTTTTGATTTTAAAAGTAATAAAATTCATACCCTCCCTCACTCACTTGAAATAAATTTTTAAAATTAAAAATAATTAAAAAATAAAACCTATTATATTTGTAATTGCATAGATTTGATGATCGTTTTGCTAAAATATAAAATTATGCTTCTCAAAAAGTTGAAGAAATTGCTACAAAGCCTAAAAAAATATAAGTCCAACAATAATAGCAGCAACAAAGTATTGTAAAGTAAACTAGAATTATAATAGATACACTGTCAAAGAATAAATAAAGAAGCGAAAGCTAAAAGCCTTACACAGTTGCAAAATAAAATATGCAAATAAATAATAGATCAAAGAGTCGTAACACACAAAAAATACTTCCAAAAAAGAAAGTAAGCTGAGTATACATACATACATCAATCATCTGCACTTCCAAAATTGTAAACAAACAATATTTCTATCTATTTATCAATCCATCAATCTATTCATCAATTGATAAATACACAGAGAGATAAATAAATACTTTTAAGAGTCTAATTATATAGAATATTTATTAAATTAGTAAATAAGTAACTTTAAATATAAAAATAAATTAGTTAGTTAGTTAGTTAAACCTTTGTTTTATATATAACAAATATTTTGTACATAAAAAATTTACTAAATTTTTCCACTCATTTTTTTATATTTGAAAAAAGTAAATAAATAAATAAACAAAAAACAAATTATTTAATGAAAAAGTTTTCTTTTACTCTATTTAATAATAATATTAATAATTATTTTATATAATGTTTCTGATTTTATTAGATTTTATTTAAGTTTATTAATGGTTAAATTAAATAAAAAAAACCTTTGATTAAAAATGTTAACAATTTATTTTATTCAAATTTAACTAATTTTTAATTAAACTTAAAAATTTATTTTATTCAAATTTAACTAATTTTTAATTAAACTTAAAAATTTATTTTATTATTTTTGATTGAAGCAAGCAATACTATGCAAATTTGTTTGAGTAATTTCTTTTTGAGAATTTTTTAAATATGTTTTAACTTGTCTGAACAATTTAGATATATTTTATAATCAAAAAGTTAAATTAGTGATTGTTTGTGCCCATTTTTAATTATTACTAGGTTTATTAACTAGTTTGACAGGTTTTATTTTAATAGGTGAGAAGAATTAATTGGATTCAATCAAAGGTTTTTATCCTTTTTTTTACTATTATAAATTGAATTATTATTTCTACTTTAGAGCATTAACTTTTTTCAATTAAATATTTCTTAGTTGTCCTCTTTAACAACTAATATATACAATCAAAGAGTAAAGTTTTGATATTTTATATGCAAAAAGTTATAATTAAGAAAATGTTAAAAGCGAAGCATATTCTGCCTATATATATTATAAATTATGAAATTAATGGTGATTATAAAGAAGATGTGACTTGTTAAGATAGAGTTTTAAATATGATAAATCAAACTTCTCCATATTTATTTAAGCACAAGAAATATTAAAATATTCTATGAAATATGAACTAAATCTAATAGGGTAAGAATAGTAGATATAATTAAAATGAATATGCTACAAATTTAATAAATTATAATGAAAGCAGAGATGAAATATATTATTTAGAACAAAGAGCACAGTAAAATATAATTATTTAAAGATAATTAATTAGTCTCTAAAAAGATAATTAAATGTGCTATTTCCTTTATTTTAAATTGTAATGAAAATCTAAATCTTATCAATAATTAATAAAAAGATTTTATAGAGTAATACAAGATTTTTTACATGGCTTTAATAAAGATATTTGATTTTAAAAGGACTAATTTAACATTTAGAAGAGTAATACAAAAAAAATCATGATTAATACTTTATTTTAAACTTAATCTGTTAGAAAATGAACTTAGAAGAAAAAATAAATTATAAATTAGTGCAAAGAAAAAACAAATTAGAAAATTTCAAAATATAATACTTATAAAATTAAAATAGATTATGTTTTCAATCAGAATTTTGCGATCTATTTTTTTTTGTCAAATTTAAATTTTTTTATACTTTAAATCCTTATAAATTAATCAAGATATGATAAATAAATTAAAGCCAAAAAATGGTTTAATACCAATATTTTTAAAAAAAGTAATTTTTATGTTACTTTAATTTATGATCCTTTACAGTAATTCAAAACTTGTAATTCATATTTTTTAATTTTAAATTTAAAATAGAGATACTTATTAGTATTGCCTTTTGATCAAAAACTAGAATTAAAATATTTTTATCAAACTTTTCATTAATCATAAATTTTCTTTAAAATATTTGATTTTTGTCATAAGAGTGCATTAATGATCCATCTATCCATTCATCACACAGAAAAAATAAATTATATTTTATATTATTAAATTGTTTTATCCGTTTAATAGTACCGACCGCCACTGCTCTTGAATAAGATAATTCTTTATTTATTATCATTATTAGATATTATTCTTTGAAAAAATCAGATTAAAAATAATAAAAGAAAGACAAACTTACTATATAATAAACGAGTTAAGAAAATAAGTACTACATAAAATAAAATGCTTTTTAAAATCGTATATTTAATTTTAAATACATTAAAGTATGCAGTTATCTCCTCACTACATTCTTTCATTTATTTAATATCCCTAAAACTAATAATTTAATATAATATTTTTACTCTTCGCATCTATAAATTAATTTCTTGTTAATAAATAAATAATCCATTTTATTTTTAATTCATGTAGAAATAGCAATACAATAGGGTAAACCTATTAAAGCTATATATAAAAACACTTTCTTTCTTAAGAGTTTATACATGTGTAACTTATGTAATGTAATTCTAATTATAATTTAAATATATTTATTCAAACCATACTTATCTATTTATTATTCTCTTATTCTTCATAATACTGTTGATTGAATTGCTATCTTTACTGTAAATAATTATTGATAGTCATAACTGAGATTCTAAAATGATAATTATAAATAACAAAAGATTTTTGCATTTTTAATCTAATTAAAAACATTTTGAATAAGAATCAAACTAGATATTTTAGAATTAAAAAAAAAATTGGTGTATTAATATTGTTATGTATTTTTAGGCTAATAAGAAAAATAATTGAAACAACTAAGGCTAAAATATTATTAAAAATTCAATACTAATATTATGTTCTGAATTTCTTATTTTATGTTTTTATACTTCTCCAAATCTATCAAACAATCATAATAAATAAATAAATAAATAAAAGATATTACTTTAGAATTATAATTAACATATTTAATTATCACAAACAATTAAATTAATAAGCTTTTGATCAATTTTATGATTGAAAAATTATTAAAGAAATGCTTTCTTTTATTATTATGAGTAAAAGAAATAAATTCAAAATATTAAAAAATGCTAAAATAAGTTTAAAATATGTGAAAGAAATCTTAATTCTTCTTATATTAAACATAAAATCTTAGAAATTCAAATGAGATAAATGTAAATTGATTGAGGGAATTTATGTCAATATCAAAATTTATTTAATTAACCTAACTAAAAATCAACCAATTTTGCTTGGCATTCCTAAATTAAGAATATTCGTTTATGACTATATATTTTATTTTATATTTGTCATTCACTCTATATTGAATTAAAATGCATTTATTTATTAGGTTATTTTAAATTAATTTTATCAATAGTTTTGATTAGATTTTATTTTGATTAAAAATTCTAGATACATATGTAATTTTCTTATTTTTATAACCTGTTTTTGGCTTTTTACTTTTTTATACTTCTATTATTAAATATTACCAAGCTTTTTTTAATTAAAAATAAAATATTGTTTGCTCCATTTTTAGAGTGAGATTAGTAATGAGTAAATGAAAGAAATTTAAGATTTTTTGATTGATTCAAAGTAAGTTAAGAATAGAATATACAATTGATATATAATTTACATATGAATTAATATAAATTAGTAATATTAATTAGTATTTTAAAAGAATTAGTTTGTTTTATAATCAAATTAAGTATTGCTTAAAATCCAAATATTCTTCTTTTAGATTCTCTTTCAAATACTTTGATAATAGTTTTTTTAATTAGTTATTGTTTATCATAAGTGTTAAGGAAAAAGGTTAGAATATTAATCTTTAATACTCTACTTTTGAATATAAAGCAGAAACCACTCCATAAGCTTTATCACCCATTTATTAATCCCTAATATTAAAATTAAATAAAAAAATTTAGATTAATAATTTAAATAAATAAATACCATAAGTCTATTTATATATAAGAGAGCTGATTCAAATCAAACAAATGAATGAAGAAAGAATCTGCATATTCAGGCAGGAAGAGTTGTCCTCTGTTTTAATTTAAAATAGTTAAAAATTCTGAAATAAATAAATTGCAATTTACTCCATATTAAGCTTTAAAGATATCAAATTTGCAATTTTTCCTATTCCCTTTCCAAGATTAGAAATTGATTACGCAGTAAAATTAGTACGACTATTTTTTAATAAGAAGTTTGATATGAGGGTGAAGATGATAGGTTTTATTTTAATATAAATATTCATCATCAAATAAATACCTTATATTCAAGTGAAGTGTACAAAGCTGATTTAAATTTCCCAAGCAATTACCTAAAGATAAGTGAGTGTTTTCATCTAAATAATTATCTCTTTTAATTAAGAAATTATTAATATTTAAAAATAAATGGGCAATTTAATTTAATAAATTTTTTTAAAAAGTTAAATTTTATAAAACTATTTATTTTGATTAAAATAATTATAAACATATTAAATCTATCATTCATTTTATTTAAAATGTTAATAATTTATCAATATATTTTAAAATTATGTTCTTTTTCTTCAAATGTAATAAAATATCTATTTATTTATCTTATTTAGGACTAACTATCGATCCAAACAGTAAAAGTATCAATTTGTAATGTAATAAAATATCATCGATTATTTAAACTATTAAATTTTTTAGTTTTTTACTTCGAATTAGTTATAAGGTATACTCTCTTATCTTATTTAATTTATTATAAATATATTTATTAGTTTTTATATCAATTAATTAAATGCTTATCAATATTATATCAAATCAAAAGTATTTTTTTATTTAAAGCTGACTATTCTAATAAAATATTAGCTTATGAACTATTCATATGATTTTAAATCTAATTGATATCCATAGTAGTTATAATAAACCTTTATCTAATAACTATAGCATTGATCGTGAAATATTCATCTATTTAGATAATTGAATTGTATTGATTGATCGAGTATTTACTAATTATTAATTGTAAATCTGACTATTGATACATTTTAGTTTATCAGATGATAAAGTATTATATAGATCAACTATTCATTTATTCATTATTGATAATGATATCCTCTAAAAAATATTCAGATCAATACTTTTTTATCTTGATTATATATGATAGAATATGAATCTAAATAAGCTAAGTATTAATGAAATCATTAAAAAATCATACTTATTAAACATTCATGTAAGTTATCTTACATCTTGTTTAGTTTATCAATAAAATATTTTTATAATCAGTTATCAATCATCAACTAAATTAAAAAATCAGGAAGTATTTAATACTTAATATTTTATTATGACTTTAATTTTATAAAGTACTAAGCCAAATATTTATAAAGCGTTAAATTGATTTTTACTGAGCTTATTATGTACATTATATAATATATTATCAAAAAAAATTATTAATCTTCTATTTAAATATTATTGATTTTTTGTATTTTTAGACTTCATTTTATTTTTTAATTTTTGATTTTGCTATCATCGAATATTTATTTATTAAGCATAACAAAATATTCAATGTATTTATAAAAAGCTAATAAAATATCTAGCTTTTTCATGTTGTTTATTTGTTATTTATTTTTTGATTTTGCTATCATCGAATATTATTTATTAAGCATAACAAAATATTCAATGTATTTATAAGAAGCTAATAAAATATATAGCTTTTTCATGTAGTTTATTTGTTATTTATTTTGTAAGAAATTTAAAAAAATTTAGAAAATAAATTATGTTGAGGAGAATGAGATATTCTTTATAGAAAATGTCATTGAATTTATTGATTAGTTAATTTGTTTACATAAATTCGTAAGAATCTAAAGAATAATTAAAATTTATTACCTTAAATTTAATTTTAAAGTTGTTAGATTTTAAAACTTTTCTAGACTTTCAAAAAATGATGTGGCTATGCTGAATTCATTGTATCTATCAAAATATAATAAGAATATTTGGAATGTTTAAAAAATAAAGATATTTACTCAAAGTCTATGATCAGAGTTGATAATGTTGAACTAACGAGGGATAGATGCTTATACATACCTTCTGAAAATATTTTGATTGTTCTATCATTGAGTTGACCGTATCTTTTTTAAATTAAATATGCTTAAAATTTAATACCAGCGATGGAAATAGATTATTATAATATAAATAATTGGTGATATTTATAATTTTTAGAAGATTGCGTAAGAGTTGTAATTAAAATTTAAATTTTTCTACAGTAGTATAATGAATATTGAATAAGACTAAGTGATATTAAATGTAAATTAATATACCTCGAGAGGAGAGTCAAATTTTCAAGCATCTTGAAGTTGTGAGAGATCTTTTTGAAAAACTTCTGGAGCTACTCTTCAGAAATTCCACTATTAAATAATATTTTAAAGGTGAATACAAATAAAATCTGAGAACAATAAATGAATTAAGATTTAAAAGATGAATAGGAAACATCAGATTTTTATATTTCGTTGCTTGTGCTTTTTTATTACTTTAAATAGGGATGCAAAATTAAATTTACAAACGTAATTTGTATTTGAAAATACTAAAGCAATATATTTAATATTAATTCACTAATGAGTGAATGAATCAAAGAAGAGAAAGAAAGAAAGAATCGCATTATAAATTGAAAACGAAAATCTGAAGAAGAAAGATAAAACAAGCAAATCGATAAATATATTAGCATTTATGTTGAAATGAGGTGGCAGCAGCTAAAAAGTAGAAGTTTTTGGGATGAAATATGAATAAAAAAGATACGCTATTGTAAAAGAAAGTGTTTTGACTTTGCTTTTATCTTTGACCGAAATTAATTTATATGACATTTTTATAATTATTTTATTGGTTTACTTATTCTTTTAGATTATTTTCAATCTTTTTTTTTCTTTCTAATTTATTATTTCTTTTCCCTCTTTCTTATTGTCGTCCTTCTTTCTAATATTTATTATCAACTAAACTAAACTAATTAATTAATTCCTTTAGATTTCACTTACTTTTACTTTTTCAAATTTACTTTATTACTTCCATTACAATCAAATTAGAAAGCAAAATCATACAAATAAAAATCAAATAAATTATTAAATATTACAGCACAGTAAAATCTTCTCCTCATTTTGTTGTGTATTATTTATTATTTTTTATATCTAGCTGGTCCCATTAAATTTTCTTAAAAATCAAAAAATAAAATTATTGTTTCTCATAATAAAATCTATCCAAAATAGCAAGAGTAATACTTTTCAATTTTATACAATTTAATTATCTTTTATTCAATTTAAATAACTTTTATTAAATCTTAAAGCTTCTAAGTGTAAAAAAGATTCCATCTAATAAATTGATTAGATAAATGAATTAAATCATTGGAATTAGAATAGTAAATGGATACTTTTTTGCATTTTTAAAGAATGAAATGTCATAAAATTTAAAAATATTTAACTAATTTGATCTTTTTTAAAGGAAAAAAAGAAATGATTTTGTTTTTATTTTTTGGAAATGAGCTTGCTTGCTTGATTGATAGCTGGCAGGAGAGCTTATCTATTTCATCTAATTGCTTTTAAATCGTTTATATATTGATGAAATCTACAATTTTTTGGTAAATAATATCTTAAAAAAGATATACAGTGAAAATCAATAAAATTATTGAGATATGAGTTTTTTTAAAAATAACAAAACAGCTATTGTTTTAGGTGGTTCAGCTCTCGCTCTCACTGCAGGAGTGTAAAAAATTTGAAACATAGTTTTTATGACTCTCTTCTTATAATTAGAGAGAGGGATTTTGTATTAGATATTATAAAGCCATACAATAAAATTACAGTTATTCTAGAATAATTTAAAGCACAGTTAGATAGATAGATCAATTTTAGATTCTTTGCAAGATTACAAATTTTTATTATGAAAATAGGGTCATTTATTTGAATAGCAAGAAGTAAGATAAAAAGGAAGTTAAAGAAGAAAAGTAATTGATCAAAGAAACCATTGAAGATGATCAAGAAGAGAAAGTTAAAAGAGGTGTCAAACGCTCTCATAATTAAGAATAAGTCGAAGTTTAGGCAGATTAAGAATAGGAATCAAAATAATAATAATTATAAGAAAGGGAACAACCAGATTTTAGTGTTAAAACAAAGACAAGTATTGCTTCTTCAAGAGTTAAAGTTCAATTCTTAAATGGAACAGATAACTTTGATTTCGCTACAATCGCTGCTATATTAGAATCCTCTTTAGATTATATTGGCGAAGAATATATTACTTACACTCAAAAAAATAGAGAAGGTAATATATTTATTTTCTTAATGAATATGAAAAATTAAGTTGTAACGCATTTAAAATAGAAAGAAGAAAAGCAAGAACCTCTGACGTTGAGAGATACAAAGAATTAGTTCTTGAATACAATGCATAGGTAGAAAAATTCATTTTAACTGCCCAAGATCAACTCTTGACAGATATCAATATAGACAAAGAAATCTATGAAAAAAGCATTGAAATTCTTATCCAAAGTGGTTATTATCAACAATTATACATGGTTTAATCAGCTATGAGATAAAAAATCAGGTAAATATTTTCTTTATTTTTTAAAATGAAAATTAAAAATGAATCATTTAAATTTAAACTCAGTGATAAGCTTCCTCGTAACAATTAAGTCTCTAAAGAAAAAATTAAAGAAATTATTCAGTACTAGTTGGAGATTCTTAACAACTAAAAAGATACCTTCATTGCCATAATTAGCCAATTGCAAGTAATCAAATACCTCATTTTTTAAGGAAAATAGTTATCTAAATTGACTGAAAATATTATATTTTAATAAATTTAGTACCTTCCAGACATTGCTGAGCTTATTCCTTTTGTATTAAATACTATGATTCAAGATATGATCTTTGAAAAATTCGGTATTGAAGAAGAAGACTAAGCCACTCAAATGAGCGCCCAAGGTACTTTAAATAAATAAAAAATAGAATTTCGTTAATTAATAGCATATTAAAATAAATAAATAGATGTAATTGAAGATCCTACCATTCATGGATTACTTAAACAAATTGAGGAATCTATGTTAAATATGATGTAACAACTTGGATTAAACTATATTGATGAAGAGCAAGAACTAGAAGAAATCGAAAGACTCCGTGAATAAGGTTAATACAGCGAAAATTGAGTTAGCTGTTACTAAACAAATATGGTGAAACAACAAACTATTAAATAAATATATTAGTTAGTTAGTTAATCAATAATTTAATAGTTGTTATTTAATTGATCCGAACTAAAATTATAAATAATATTTCAAACAAGCAAACAAAAAACTTAATAAATAAATAAGCAAAAAAGTAAATAAATAAGTCAATCTATTTATATTTTTAAATTTACTATATGTTATATAAACCAACAAACAAAGTTACTGATCTAAATTATTTATCATAAAATTTCATTTCTTATTTATGTTTGGTGTTTCTTCCATTTACCACCACTAAATATTTATTTCTTAAATTTATTTTTTTGAAAACAAAAAAATTTATTTTAAAAAAAAATATTTATTGAAAATAGGCTGATAATTGTTAAATTTTATGTTAATTTTATTTAGATTTAAATGAATAAAAAAATAAAATGTGGATATTATCAAAATATTATATTTTTATTTTTAAAACTTTAATAAAAACATAAAAAAATATACAATGTGAATTAAAGTTTATAAAGTAAATTTAATCATTTTTTTAGTAAATGATTAGCATCTATCTTATTGAATAGGTTCATTTAGGGTTCTATTAATATTATGGGTTAGCAATTTTGGCATTGTTTTTGTTGGCTAAAGAGTTGGTGCGTGAATTATTCTACTATTTTGCTTTATCTTTATTGGTGATATTTTAGTTCTTTGAAGATTTATTTGATGAGGGAGTTGGATTCAATTTGCTTAATTTTGAAGGAGAATTGTTATGAAAAGATTCATTATTTTTTTTCATAGATTCAATTTATTAGTCATGGAGGTATTCTTTAAATACTTCAATGGAATCTTTCAGGCTTACATTATTTGGATCAACCTTTGCTTTTTATGGTTATAGGCTATTGAAGGTGTCTAAATTAGTATAAACATTAGAGTTGTTTTGTTTAGGAGATTTCATTTAGTTGCTTTCTAAATTAGGTTTCTATGAATATTAATTTATAACAATTTAATAGTTAGGTTAGTTGTTACCTTAATTTTAATTATAAATTTAATTCAAATGATGATTTAGATCAACGTTTCCTTTCGGTGTTTATGAATTATTTTGAACACTTGAATAGGCATGATTTGGGAAAGAAGTATTCTAATTAGATTTCGGTGTTGAAGATTTGTTTTAATATGCTTGTGAATTATAATTTTCTCCAAACTATAAAGGTCTGATCAAATTTCTAATATTGTTTGAATCATCATTTTATATTTTTATTTGATTATTATTTTATATATTGCTCATTAAATTTTAAGATTGCTTAGGAGTTTGATTATTTTAGTAAACAAGTTCCATGTTAGATTTTTGTAAATAGTTGTTATTTAAGCTTTTATTGCTATCTTATTAATCAGGTTTGCTTTGAACATTTTTAGGAGTTCTGCTGCCAAAATTATTTGGAGAGCTGTCAGCTTGTTAAGATTATTTCTTATTTAAACTTGTATTGCTTAGATCACTATTTCCTTTTTGCATTTAATTAATTGTAGTATTATTGTGAACTGGTTAGTTCTAAACTATCCTTGGCGATCTGTTTTAGTTATTAGAACTTCTATTATTGTAATCTTATTCAAGTTTACTTTAGAAATTAGTAGGAGTTCTATTAGAAGTAAAGTAATTAGGAGAAATATCTTATTGCTATTTGGGTGATTTTTTGTCTTGATTCGAATTATTTAGATCATAATTTCCTTTTTAGATGTTAATGAAACTGTTGTTTGGAGAGTTTTTTTATGTTTAACTGTTTTTAGGAGATTTAAAATAATTGTTTATTAATTGGGAATCAGGTGCTTTTTAAAGAGAATTGCTTTATAATCTGTTAACTTAGTCACTTTATTTAGGAGATTTATCCTAAAAATTGTTGGATATATTCTGTGTATTCTGTCCAGATTTATATTGATTTTATTATTTTTGCTAAATTTCAATAAACTATTTTAAATTCTAAATTTCTTTATTGGCACTATTCAAATTTCTCTCCATTTCTAAAAGGTAAAAAAGAAAATATTTTAGATTTATTAAAACAAAATTTAATTTACTTACAAGTAACATGCTCTCTTAAAATTTATTGCTCGAGTTCTCTTTGCTAACAATTAAGACAAGATTTTGGAATGTCTTTTTGTTGTTACTCTAAGTTCTTAATACGACTTTTTTTAACTCTCTCGTTGTCATCATCATTATATTAAACATTTCTTAATGCTCCTTATTAAGGTAGTGATGATAGTCCTTATTAGCTTTGCTAATTAGAATGATAAGGAGAAGTATTATTGGATGTTATTCTTATTTGATCTGCTATTTCTTATTATTTTCTTGGGGAGTTAGGAGAACTATTACTTAAACCTTTTTGAGCATTGTTCATAATAAACCAATGTTGTTCTTTTTCTGAAGGATTCAAATTTCTATCAATCAAAACTTGATAATAAATAGCCCTGAGTTGCACATATTTTTCAGAAAGAATTTATTAGTTTGTAGTCATTTCTTCGATTATAGAAGATAATTTATGAACTTCCTCTACTAACTAATAAACTCTTCCAGAGAGCATATTGACAAGCTCTTAAGGATCCCCTTAATAAGTAGAAAGTAGAGGAATTTATGAATTCTTCGAGTTGTTAAAACTATCTTTCTCTACGATAGATTTTGCAATAGAAAACTATCCCTCTTAGTTGAAAGAAATTGTAGTTGGTAATTTATTTATGTTGTTAATAGTGTCTTTATTTATTTAATAATTTGACTATTCTAAATTTTTCATATTTTCTAAGCTTTTAGGACTTCTAAAATTCCTTTGATTCTAAGCATTCTCTAATTACTAATGCTGCACTCCCTAATTATGATAAAACTAATTATTAGAGCCCGAATATGGGTTAGAATTAACTTAATGATTATAGTTTTAAATCATATTTTATGAATCTAAATATTAAATAAATATAATTAATTTTACAGTTTTTTTGTAAATTTTATTGAAAAGCAATTATTATTATATTTGAAACCTAATCAAAAAAAACTAAATCGTTGTGATAATCAATCATTATTCTTTTAAGCCTTAATAGAATAAAGTTTTTTACTTAAAAAGTAGTTCACTCTAATAAAGTAAATTACTTACTTACTTACTGAAAATGGGCAAATAAATATCAAGAAAAAAAAATAAAGATTTAATCTTAATCTAACTTTTACTGAGTAATTCTAATTTTATATTTAAATGAAATAATTTATCCTGAATTATGTTGAATATTAATTTTATTTTTTAGAAAAATTTTATTAACTTTTTACTAATTAACAGTTTTTTAATTGCAAAGTAAATATAATAATAAGAAATAAATACTGATCAAATAATTAATTAAAATAAATTTTATATTAATTTTAATATTTTTTTGCCATTTAAAGAAGGAAAATATTGACTATTAATATTTTTTATTTATAAAAATGAGAAATTAAACTTAAATAAAAATATTAAAATTAAATAATAAAATTTTTATTTGAGCTTATTAAAGTTAAATTTTTAGTTAAAATAAATATTTCATCTTAAAAATATTATTAATACTTTTTAATAATTTACTTAATTATTTCATTTATTAAAAATAGGTAAATTGAGAAGAATCATGTAAATTTACTTTTTTTTGTTTGTAAAGCTAAAAATTATTAAAATAAATACAATTTTTTCTTACATTTATAAAGAATAAATTTGCAAAAAAACAATTATTAAGCATATTTTAGTTTGAAGATTAAAAAGAAAAATTAATAGATTAATAAGATTTTTTAAAGGAGTATTTTCATATAGATTTTAGCGTTTAAAAAATAGATTGTGTTATGTGATTGTGATATAAACAAAAGTATTAATTATTTAAAGTGAATAATCAGAAGAATCTGATAAACACAACACGTTTGTATCTTTTATTGAATTTAAGGAGGAGTTAACGTAAGGGTTTTTTTTTTGATTGTTAGGATGGAATCTATTTTTGATTGATTGCTTGTTTTTTTTGATTTTGGAGAGATGCATCGTGTTTAAAAAGAAGTTTTAACTAAAAATTATGAATGAAATAAATAAATAATTAAATAAATAGATAGATACACTAAATAATTTTAGGTTGTAAAAATTAATAAACAAAAAACAATATATAAATAGATAGGTAGGTTAGCAAGAAGTAGTAGATCAATCTATGACAACAGTTAAATCAATCATTAGACCTGAAAGAGTTGTTTTTGCTTCTCTTTTAATTATTCTCGTTCACGTAGTAGCTAGCTTGATGAACACTCCCGCTTCTATTTAGTTAATTCTAAATTCAGTCACTTGCGTTTACATAGGCTGCTTTTTAACATTTAGAGTAGAAAGAAAGCACAACGAAGAATTCCATAAAAGATCTTTGAGCGAAGATGCTGAAACTATGACTTCTAAAGACGCTTTCTAGTTCCCTCTTTACGGTTCCCTTGTCTTATTTGGTATTTATGTTCTTTACAAGTTCCTCCCTAAAGAATATCTCAGCTTCATTTTCACTTCTCATTTCATGTTTATTGGTATCTTTTGCGTAGGAGCTGTTTTCGAAATTCCTTTTTCAGCAGTATTTTAAGACAAATATGAAAAGGTCAACGTCATTAAGCGTAAAATCAATATCAATTTACCTCTCTTAAAGAAGGAAATCGACTTAGACTTCAATCTTTAACAAATTATTTGTATCGCTCTTGCTTTGATTCCTACTGTTTCTTACATTCTCTCAAGAAACTGGATTGCCAACAATATTTTTGGTATTGCATTCTCAGTTATGGGTATTAATAACCTCGTCCTTCCCAACTTTAAGGTCGGTTATATTCTTATGTGGGGTCTTTTCTTCTATGATATCTTCTGGGTTTACGGAACTGATGTTATGGTCACAGTTGCCAAGAGTTTCGATGCTCCAATTAAGTTGATCTTCCCCTTCGACTGGGAAAATAACAAGCATTCTATGCTCGGTTTAGGTGACATCGTCATTCCTGGAGTCTTTGTAGCTCTTGCATTAAAATACGATATTGATTAATAACTTAAGAAAGCCATTAATATTCATGCAGTTAAAACCCCCTATTTCAATTGGTGCTTTGGTGGTTACATTGCTGGAATTATCACCACTTTCGTTGTCATGGTTGTATTCAATCACCCCTAACCTGCTCTCTTATTCTTAGTCCCTGGATGTACAATTTCCGTTTTAATTAAAGCCTTACTCGATGGTAAATTGAAGGAACTCTTCCTTTACGAAGAATCTGAAAAAGGCATTAGCAATACCTAAGCAGTATAAGAACAAAAAGCAGATTGAATAATAAATTAAGTAGTTATATAATTAATTGCTCATGAGTAAAACTAAGCTTATTTATAATTTATAGTTAATTTGTTAGCTATTTTTAAATCATTTTATAGCTTTTCATTAAATTGACTATTATTTACTCAAATATTTACTTATTTACTTGTCACCTTTTTGTATTCCACTTCTCTTAAAAAATACCTCTTAAATTAAAACAAACCATAAATTATTTACAAAAATACTGATTTAATTAAACCCAAAAATAAACTCAAATTTTTAAAAAATAATTAAATCCAAATTAAATAAATACAATGATTTTTTAAGTGTAATTATTTTAAATATAATCAAAATTAAATTAAAACAAACAAATACCAATTTAATTTGATTATTGCTCATACATACAAAAGATGGGGGTAACAAAATAAAATTTAATAATTTATTAAATTCTATATTTTTTATTCAAAGGGTTATAAATTTTTACAATATAAAGTTGAATTTAAAAAATAAATCTGCTAGAAAATAAAAATGATTGTTTATTTTTGATAATATATAATAGAATAGTTAGAATTTAATTTGTAACTTCATAGTTTATTTAGTAATAAACCAAAAAACTAATTTGTTATGAATAAATACATTTATTTATTTATTGATGATTAATTAATAATTTAAATTGAATATTTTTAAAGGCAAAGATATTGAGAGTGAATATATATAGCATCTGTTATACAATTTAATATATAATTAATTACTAAATAAATAAATAGGTTTTTTCACTTTTTAGCAGGTGGTTTCTTTCCTCCCTTTTTATTATTTTATTCTTCTAATTCTCTTTATTTTTCTTCTTCTTCACGTCTTATCTTATCAATTTTTGCTTATTCTATTTGTTACTTGATTGAAATTATTTCTTGCTCTAGTCTTTCATTTTCATCTTTTGTATCATTCACGCTTTTTGTTAAATTGTCAAATACTTCCCATTCATTTTGATCTTTGTATGTTCCGAAATAATCAGTTAAAGCTTGCAAAGGGTTTTCAGGTAAGTCCTTTGAATTTTTGATTGATAAGAGGTCTATTTTTAATTTTTACATTATAAATATGTAAAATAAATAGCTGAACATATGCTAATAAAATCTAAAAATTTCAATATATTTGTTGAATTTTGATCAAATTACATTTGACAATGGCTAAAACAACTTCTTTATCAACTAAATATTCTCTAAACTCCTTTAATTTTGCTTATTACTTTTCCTTCTTTGAATAAACTGGTTCTTCTAACCCTTAACTCATTTTCGCTAATAAAGTTATCTATTTACTATATTTAATTATTAACTTGCAATTGATTTTAACATATAAAAATTTCTAATTAAATCAACTCTTTATTAATTTAATAAAAAATAATTGAAACAATTTATATCAACTAACAAACTGATCATTCAAACTAAATTTAAAATAATTTTCAAAAATTTTAATGAAAATATTAAAAATTTGTTTATTATGAAATAAAAAGTGAATTCATTTATCCAAATAATCAGAATTTAAATAAAACAATTTTTTGCTAAATTTAATTTAAATATAGAATCATAAAATAGTTTTTATGTTGAAAGTAAAAATTAGGCAATTTAATTTTAAATATTTCCTTCTTCTAAAGAAGCATTTCAAAAATCTATTTAAAAATGGTTAATTTCATAAAATAAATAAATGAATTTAATTAAGTATTATTAATCATAAAAATTAAAAAAATCAATATTTTATTATTTTATTTGTTAAGTGTTATTAAAAAAGTAGGATTAACAAAAAGTAGTTATAAAATTCATTTAAAATAATCTAAATACTTTTAAAAAAATAAAAACATCTTTGAAATTCTATGATATGAAATATTAATACAGATATCTAAATTATAACAAACTCTTTTAATTGCAAAGAAAGGCAAATAATAAATTCAAAAAACTTTTTATAATTTGCTTAAAAGCCAAATAATGAATAAAGTATTTAAACATTATTTTTGAATGTAAATTATATTTCTCTCCATAATATTTCAAACAAAATAATTAACATTTTATTTTTACTTGATTTATTTATTTGTTTAAAAAAATTTTTATTTTATTAAGCAAAAAAAATTACGAACAATATTTTACTAAGATGAAAAGCAGATCAATAAATTTTAACTTTTTTATATTTCTTTAATATGCAGAATAAAAATATATTTTTCAAATGATTTTAATCTTTTTTGATAAAACTTTCTTTAAGTTAAAAATAATAAATAGCATAAATATTTAGAAATATAAAGGTGTTTACTAATTAAGTATTTTTTATCTTTATATAGAATTTTATATAAAAGGTTGAAGTGATAAATAATGCTTGATTTTACTTAGATTTCAATAAAATTCATCATTTTTTTTATTGTTTTTTATAAAAATTATTTTAGATTTAGTTTGTTCAAACTGACTCTTTAGAACAATTTTGCTGTTTTACCAGGGTTTTTTAGAAAAAATTGAAGACTTCTAAAAGTAAGATAGTGGGTTTCTAATAAGGTTTTAAAATTTTCTATAGATTAGATTAAGCTTCTAAATAAAATGATTCATATGGGAAATAAATGAGATAGTTTTCTAGATAAGCTTTTAAGTAATAGAAGAAATTGATAAAAAATTAGAATTAAAATAGAAAAAGGAAACGAAAATCTTTGACTAAAACAAATTTATTTATTTCATTGTTTAGTTATGCTCAGAAAGCATAAATAAATAAATAAATAAATAAATAAATTTGGGTTGAGATGGACAAATGATGGACTTGGTAATATTGAAGGTCGAAGTCAAATTTGAATGAATTATTATAGGAGTTGCTTGCTTTTGATGGAAATACTTTTTGTTTGCTTGTTTGTTTATCGTGGTATGGTATGGTAGGTAGGTAGCTCATCTTCTTTTTTGCATTTAATTTTCGAGAAGAAAAGGCAATTCTTCTCGAAGGATTAAAAAAAAAATAAATAAATAGAAAAATAGAAGAATAGAAAGATTAATAAAGGTTGACAAAAAATAATAATCATTTAACAAACAAGCTAGCCAATTAAGAATATGATTACTCACACACCATACTTTTTAAAGCAAACGCAAAAGAAGCCTGTTCAAAATAGAGTCAGGACTTCCATTCCAACTTTTCTAGTTAAAACATACGAAATGCTAGAAGTAATTTTCCAAATTCTGCGAACATTTTTCAAATAACAAACCCGCCCACCAACCATTTCATCAAAAATATTCCAAAAATAATTTTTATTATTTAAGACTTATTTAACAACGACAAAACACAATAAATAAATAAATTAGAATCAAGAGCACAAAGACATTGTCTGTTGGAGTGAAGATGGCAAGTCTTTTTTGATTAAGAAGCACAACGAATTCAGAGATTAAGTTTTACCTCAATATTTCAAACACAATAATTACTCCTCATTTGTTAGACAAGTAAGCATTTATTTAATCATTTTTATCAAAATCATTTCATGAACCACAGCTCAATTTGCACTCTCTTTCAAAGTTTAAATTCCATGCTTAACCTATTTGTTTAATTTACTAAAATAACTCTTTTCCCCTTTAAAATGAACACTCTTTTCCATAACACAAACTCCAACTTTTTACTTCAAATTTTCATTACGTAAAGTTAAACTTTCCTGATTAAAAATTTTTATTCTGATTGAATGATTCCCAATTTATTAAATTATTATTTAGTTTCTATATAAAAAATACATTATTGATTTCTATTTACAATCTAGACAAACAAATAAAAAACTCAAAATTTTAATATAATTGCAATCTTTTAGTGTTATCAAATCAATTACTTTACTGACATTTCCACCATTATTTTTATCATCTTTGAACTTGTTTATTTCTTTATTACTTTATTCATTAATTTATTTGTTAGTTTTCTTTATTCAAGTTCATTTGATCCCTTTAAAAATATCAAAATTATTAAGCCGCCCTCTCCCCTTTTAATCTTTAATTTGAATATGTGAATGATAATTATCGCTTAAATTAAAGCCTATTTTATAAATCTACCCAAATAAATAAATAATTAATTAAAATCAATTAAAATTACAAAAACAAAAGAGCAAACAAAATCTTTTATTTTTTAAAATCAAAACGAACTCAAAAATGAGAACTAAAAAGAATTTAAGAGATTATTGAAAACCTTTAAGAAGGGTAAATAGATGAATTATTGGTTGATTTATTAAAAAATTTAAAAGATTTTTCTAAGCTGATTTAAATTTATCTTGTTATCATCAACTAATTTAAATATTTACCAAAATATAAAATCAAACATAAATGATTTATTTTCTAATAAATTATGATTAATAAATATCTTTAAAATAATTTTTCATTCTCAACAAATATATTTGAAAGATATTTCTTCATAAATACATTCATTAATTTACTGTTTGCCTAAGTTAATTATTAAGTTTATTAATATTTCAAATTTTCATTCATTTTTAGTTTCTACTTTTACATTTTCTATTTATTTTTTTTTAAACAAATTAGTTTATAAATTTAACAAACACAATATTAAATCAATACCGTTTTCTTATTCGAAATTCTACATTATTAATTTAATAAATTACTTAAATTTGCTTAAAAATATTTTTAATTTGATTTTTCAGGTGCAAATGGATTTTTATTTTATAGGAATTTATTAAATGATTGATTTATTTTTTTAATAAAAATTTCAATTTGAGATATTATTGTTTGAATTAAATAATTTTTTATTATGAAAAGCTTAATATGTATGATTTTCACAAAGTGAGAAATGAAAGTACAGACTCTGAATACAAAAATCCATTGTTTTAGAGAGGATAGCAGTATGATTAATTTAATGGAATATTTCGAAAATAAAACTTTATTATTTTAAATTAGAAAAATGCTTTCAGAAATAAAAAGAAAAAGCGGGGATAACAATAATGATGAATTTTCTACTTAGTAAAATGACAACAATGATGATAGTGCTTAAATACTCCAAAATGCTTCTGGTAATAGTTTGAATATTGATGTGGATAACTCTAAATCAGATAACACCTAAATACTTAGTGAAGTTTCTAATTTAAAATCTAAACAAAACAGTCTTGAAAAAGCAATGACTATGCTTATTTCTTAGCACGAAACTCTAATTCGTGAGAACAAGATCTTGTGGGATGAAATCAGAAGATAAAAGTAAATAAATTTAACTAAAAACTTATTTAATTTAATCACTTTTTTTTTAAAATAAAAGTGAACAAGATGATTTGAGAGGAGAAAAGATTATGATGGTTTTAGCATTTTTTTTGAACAGAAACAATTAATTTAATAACAGCTAAACATCAAGATCACTTGTTCCTCAACAATCAAACAACAGAAGACCTATATAACGTAAGTTATCATTTAAATTAATTATTATTTTTACTTCTTCTTTTTAAAATTAAATTAAATTAATTAATTAATAACTTAGCGAGCTTCGAAGATATCCAGCAATTTCTATAAAATCAATCTTATTAAAAAAGAGACAACAGGTAAAGTGAAATACTTCAAGGTATTTACTAGGAATTTAATAAATTGAATAACGGAAAATTCTCATTTGACACAGTAATTGATTAAAATAAAGTACATTAAGCAATCCAAATATTTAAAAATTAATAGAATGAATCAAGAAATCCCTATTATTCTCTTCCTCTGATAAAAAATAAAAAAGCAAGAAATGAATCGTTCACTTCTTAAATCTCTTAAGATGTCAGAGAACTATTAAAAACTTACGAAAAAAGTGGATCAAATGACAAAGAAATGATTGAATAGTACTTGCAAAAATTAATTGGAAGCAATAATATACCTGAAAGTAGATCAGACTACTTACCAATTGAACCTCTCCCATCATCATCTAGTGGAAGCATAAAACATGAAAAGTAATCACTTAACGTTTTTGAAAATCCTTAAACGAAAAGAATATGCCAAGAAACACTGAATCCTCTTAACAAAGGGTATTCTGCAGAAAATACTGGCATTAATTAATCGAAGATTGAAGATAGAAATATCAACAACCAAGATTCTCACTTCCAAAGTTCTCAATTAGTTTAATATGGCAAATAAAACAGTAATAACATTAGCAATTAAGTGAGAAGCAATTCTTTACCTAAATTACAATCTAATCCGTCCTATGAGCATCTCCCTTTCGATGGTTAAAATAATTATAGCTCTAACTAAACTAACTATGCTAGTTTAAGTCCTAACATTCATTCTAATAATGGTAACAATCCTATTTTCACTCTGAGTAGAACTAATAGCTCTAATCTCGTTAACTAATTCCACTCTGATAAGCTTGGAATCGGTTATTCAGCCAGTCCTATAAGAATGACACATAATGAGCTGCCTCATAGTTCAATCACCATTGGTGATCATCCTAACCTATTCCCCTACTACGGAAACATGAACGGTTCATTTACTCCAGAGCATAACTACCATGAAGATGAAGAATATACTGGCAGATCTAGGAGATCTTCTTTCGATAAAAACCATGACTAAAGCAATAATTTCTCTAACATAAATTGATCCTCCCTCTAATAAAAAAATAGAATCAAAAATGAAATTATCATTTATCTAATTTTCAAAAAACAATTTTATGAATTAAGAGTTTATTTTCAATAAAAGCATCATCATTTAAAATGAATTAATGAATGAATTAATAAAATTATCTTGGAGAACTTGCTGCAAAAAAAAGCTAAAAAAAATATTTTACAAAACAGATAGCTGCTGATAGATCTAGCAATTTATCTGAATAAATGATAATCCTAGTTATGGAATGAATAAAGCATAAAAATATTTAATAGAGTTAATTTATTTTTGATTATTAATTAATATAAAAATTTTAATTATTTATAATAAACTATTTTTAAAAAGATTTATATAATTTATATACTTGTCTTATATTATATATCATTATTTTTGATTGATTTTATGTAATTAATTCATTATTATTTGTCTGTATTCAATTTTTATCTTATGTGTAATTCTTCCATTTTAATTTTCTCTTTAACAAAATTTCTTAAGAAAAAAACTATAAAAATTAATGATTAATAAAAAAAATTTTAATTTACATTACCATTTGCTTTGTTTTTTAGAATAATTATGTTGGATATTTATTTATTTTGCCAATCATAATATTATTTTTATTTTTAAAGTAGATTAAATGATAAATATTAGTTAATTAATTAATTACATTTTTTAATATGATTTATCTATTGATTAAAATAATTATTGTTTTTGTTTGTTGAAAAATAATAAAGTAAAGTAAATTAATTTGTTAACAATTGCTTATCAAAAATGTAAAATTAGATTCAATTAAAATTGTATATGACAATGAACTGTTTGTTGTCTAATTTATATAAAAAATAGTTAATTCTTTTACTATTCCACATATAACTTTTATATGAATATATGCATATATGAAAGTATCTATTTAACTATCTATCTATTTATCAATTTTGATAAACTTTAGATTTGTTAGACATCAATAAGATTATTTATATATGTATTCTCATTTAATTCATGCACATAAAATGGCATCTTCGTACTTTGTGTTAGATCCTGAAACACCATCTGAGAAGCAATAGACCAACTCAGTTAAAAAGCAGATTTAATGAGCTTCATCTGATAAACCATTGCAAGCCTTGTATTGTCTAGTTGCACATTAATTAGCATTGTCGAAATATTCTTAATTTTCCTTAACACATTCGGGATCATTTGGGCAAGAGTAAATATAAGATTGAACTGAACCGCAATCTTCAAAGTATTATCTAGCACCACAGTCGTTTTAACATTTAAGAGCAGAGACCAAAGCAGGATGCTTAGCATTAGCAACTAGTTAATCATATTGAGTGTAATCAGCAAGGAATGAAGCTTAGAATTATTCAAATTCACTCTTGCAAGTATCATCAGAAACACAGGTACTCATCAAATGGTAGCAAGATCTAATCACGCAAAGTGATAGGAAATCTCTTGTTTGCTTAGGTTCTTCATCCTTCAATAAGTGACTAGTCTAATTGGAAACAGCCAATAAAGTCAAAGATAATGCAATCAAAGTTGCACCAATCAATAATTAAGATTTCATTCTGTATTTTAAATCGTATTCTAATTTTATATGATAATTATTATTTATTAATATTAAGACTAACATTCTAACTACATATATATATATTCTCTAAAAATTCATACATTTGACAATCTAATTAATTAGAAAATTTCACTCACTAATTAATTTATTTATTAGCTAGTTATCAAAAAAAATCTAAGTATATCAATTAAATGATTGATATTCACCACTCTAGAATAATAACTGATCTATTTTTTTACAAATTTCACGTTTTAAAATGTTTTATTTAAGATATTTTATTGTAATTTTAAAGTTGAGTGCAATCTATGTAAATATGCTTAAAATATTAAATAAAAATGGTAAAATAAGTGTAGTAGACGATTTAATATAACTATTATACTTTTATTTAGATTTAGATAAATATAGTCTAATAGATTTTTATCTATTTCAGCTAGCTACTTTGATATTAAATTATATTTATGTGTAATATTATAAAGAGTCTTAGTTGATGTTAAATTTTACATTTAAAATATTTTCTTTTATTTACTTAATAAGCTTTAAACGAAATTTAAACTTACTCTTACCTAAAAAATGTACAAAATTTAGATCATATAAAATGAAAATTTTCATTCCATCATGAATGAATTTTAAATAAATTTCCAGAACTTTTTAGCTTGAAAATTCTGGAAAAGTTAACATAAATTTTAAATATTTTTATGGCACACGAACTATTCATTTATTATTCATTTTAGATATCAAAATATATCAGAAAATAAACCTTTACATTATACACAATTATAATAATTTCATTAAGTTTAGTTCTAAATGTTATTTTAACCACCAATAATTAATTAGTAAATCAATAGCGATGATTTATTATTTAATATTAAAAAATGCTATAAATTGAATGAATATGGCGAGTATAACCTATCTCTCTTCAATATCATTTTAATACTTGTGATCAATCTTTTCAAAGGCAGTCTCTCAAAGTAAAATAGACTTAAGAATGTTTTCCTTAAATGTGGCTATCTATATTTACTTGATTCCTAGATTTTTAAAATATACAATTAATCAGTTTTTACTTAAAAAAACAAATAAATTTTTTTTTGTGTTTTTAATTTAATTCAGCCTTTTATAAAATCAATAAATAAATTTTTAATATTTATTGATAAAATAAATTTATTTTGATTAAAATATTTTTGTAAAATAAATTAATAATTATTTGATTTTTGATCATAGAAAAATAAGCTAAATTTTAATTTATTTAATCAAACTTTGACAGAAAATTGTTATTATTACCTATAAAAGAAATTTTTGATATGAAAAACTTTTTTTAAGGAAAAAAACTTTAATCTTTTTATGAGGGAAATCATTAACCTTTAAGTTGGTTCTTGTGGTAATTAAATAGGCTCCAAGTTTTGGGAAGCCATCTCATTTGAGCATGGCATATGGTCTAATGGCACTTACATAGGCAACTCTGATTTATAGCTACAGAATATAAATGTTTATTATTAAGAAATTGAATAAGCTAGATATGTTCCCATAGCTGTACTTGTTGATTTAGAGCCTGGAACTTTAGATTCTGTGAAAGCTAGCACTCTAGGTTCGCTTTTTAGACCGGATAACTTTGTTTCTGGTTAAACTGGAGCTGAGAATAATTGGGCTATAGGTTACAATACATAAGGAGTATAGTATTTAGACCAAGTAAAAGAAATTGTGAGAAAATAAGCTGAAAACTGTGATTCATTTTAAGGATTTTAAATAACTCACTCATTAGGTGGTGGCACTGGCTCTGGCATGGGCACTCTTATTATTAAAAGTATGAAAGAAGAATATCCGAATAGAATTATACAAGCGTTTTCAGTTTTCCCTTCTACAAAAGTTTCAGATACAGTAGTAGAACCTTATAATGCTATTCTTTCTATAAATTAGTTAATTGACCAAGTTGATGAATGTATGGCAATTGATAATGAAGCTCTTTATGAAGCTTGCGTCAGATTACTCAAAATGATGTCACCTACTTATAATACTATTAACACTTTGATATCCTCTGTTATGTCTTGCATAACTTGTACTATGAGATTTCCTAGCTAAATAAATTCTGATCTTAGAAAGTTTGGTGTTAATTTGGTTCCCTTTCCTCGCCTTCATTTTTTAATGACTAGTTTGGCTCCTCTTTTATCTATAAGAAACATGTAGTACCCTATTACAGTATCTTACTTACATGATTAGATGTTTAATTATGCAAATATGACGTGCTCTGCAGATTTAAGACACGGTAGGCTTTTATCAGCCTTTGCCAGCTTTAGAGGGAAAATGTCTTATAAAGAAGTTGATGAGTGTGTTTTAAATGTTAGTAATAAGAATTCTTATTACTTTGTAGAATGGATTCCTAATAATCTCAAGCACTCAGTTTGTGAAATAACTCTTTAAAATAATCTAAATTCTGTAAGTCTTATTGGGAATAGCACTGCTATCTAAGAAGTATTCATGAGAATTGCTGAACAGTTTAAAGCAATGTTTAGAAGAAAAGCTTTTTTATAATGGTATACAAATCAAGGAATGGATGAAATGGAATTTGCAGAAGCAGAGTCAAATGTGCTAGATTTAGTTTCTGAATATTAATAATATTAAGATATGTTTGTTGATTAAGAAGAATAAGAAGAAGAGTCTCAAAATACATTACAGACATGTGATAAAGGCTAATATTGAAAAAATTAAATAAATTTCTAAATATTAAATTAAAATACTCATTGTATTCTACTAAATTTAGTATTTAAACAAAGCCTTGCTAGAATTTCTCAATAAAAGCAAGCAAAAATTCTAAAAAGGAGTTTTAATAATACATTTTAATTAGTTAAATTTAATTAAAAGCAATTAACATGCAATTTCTATTTATGATAAGCAAAATTTAGTTATTTGATTTATAGCTTAATGCCTATATTTTTTTATAATAGTATTCTATAATAAAAATATTAAAAATAGATATTGATTAATAAAATCATTAATTTTATTTAGGATGAATATTAAGATTAATTATCACATTTTGCATAAAAATATATCAATAAACTATTTATTTTTTAAGATAGATGGGTTAACTTTGAAACATTTTACGCTTTATTTTTTATAATAGTATTCTTTTATAAAAATATTAAAAATAGATATTGATCTGATTAATAATATGATTAATTTTATTTAGGATAAATATTAAGATTAATTATCACATTTTGCATAAAAATATATCAATAAACTATTTATTTTTTAAGATAGATGGGTTAACTTTGAAACATTTTATGCTTATATTTTTTATAATAGTATTCATTTATAAAAATATTAAAAATAGATATTGATTAATAATATAATTAATTTTATTTAGGATGAATATTAAGATTAATTACCACAATTTGCATAAAAATATATCAATAAACTCTTTATTTTTAAGATAGATGATTTAACTTTTTATTCATTTTAAGTAAATTTAATTACCAATAAAGAGTTGATCTTTTAAATTAAAAATAATATTTTCAAATATATTATTAAAAACAAAAATATAAATATATAATATATTTTACTTTTACTTTATTATTTTTATATTTTAAAAATTAATAATTTATATCATGAGCAATCGATAATACTTTTCACCAAACTCTTCATTTTAAGAATTAATTTTCTAAATGATTAATCAGCTTCTTAATCATATGAATACACACTTTTAGATTTAAATAAAATAAATAAGTGAACTAATGTTAAGTGAGTTCTGAGAATGAATATATTAAAATAAAAGCAGAGGAAATAATTAAAATAAAAGTGTTAATTTAAACTAAAAAAAAATATGAGAAATCATATTAAGCGATTTTTTGTTAACAAATAAGTAAATAAATAATCAAGAAAATTAATGCTATAAAATTTTTAATAGTATTTTCTTTAGTTAATCGCCTTTCAAATAAAAAAAAGAAAGAAATTTAATTAATTATTTTACTCATTAAGACTAAGTATCAAAATTAAGACACTATTACATTAAGATAAGTTTAAACACAGATATGATACACCCTCTTCCATAATTAAGTTACTGCTTTTAATTAATATTTTTAAAAAGAATATGAGAGTTATTGTAAAGATTTTTGTTGATTAATTAAAATGTGAGTTTAATGCTGAAAAGATATTAAAAAAAATAAAAAATAAAAAGGATGAATTGAGCAATAAATAAAAAGAAATTAAATATTAGTAAGTTCATTAATAAAATAGGTAATTAAATAATGTTCTGATAAATATTTATTAGTCGATGGCACACACTTCAAAGTTAAATGATGCAATGTATTAATAAAATAAATAAGCTATTTCTACCTGAGGTTTAAGTCTAAATTTGAGAGTTTAGGGCATAGGGATAAACTCTATCCTAATCTTAATGCACCTTATGCACTGATTGAATTGGCTCTTTTTTTATAATAAAAAATTTATAAATAAAAATGAAAAATGTTATGAGAAATAATTAAAAAAAGAAGAAAAATCAGTTAATTATTGTAAATTAGAATCCAAATAATAAAAAATAAATAAATAAGCAAAAAATAAATCATAAATTGTGATAGTAAAATACATTAAAAAATTATAAAATCATTTTTTTGGATTTATCAATTCATTTTGAGCTTTATAAAATTAAAACATAAAATATTAAGAATTAAATCAAAATTATTTTTACTAAAGATGAAGAGACAAAACTGAGAGATTAGTGCACTTAGATAAACAATAACCTAAGATTTTTACTCCTTCATCACCTAATGAGTTATAACTTTTAATATTTAGTACAAAAAATTATGGAAAAGTAAATAAATAATTATGCTAGTTAGCTCAAAAAAATGTTACTGATAAATTATTATGTAAAAAAAGTGATAAAAAAATATTAATTAATATTTTGCTCATTTTCTTAAAAACAATTTTAATTATTTAAAGATAGATAGCCAGCCCTTTGCACTAAATAAAAATCAGTTTCTTAACAAAAAAAATGATTTATTACTAGAGATATATTTTCAAATCCTATAGATTTTGGCACTAAGATAATTCAGAATTGAAAAACTATGGTTCATAAGGACCAATTGAATTTTTACTTTTTTAAGAAAAAATATTTAGTTATTTTTAAAAACATGATAGAAGTATTTTATGAAGAAAAGGAAAAGATTTTGAAAAACAATCTATTATTTTAAAGTAGAAAAAACTAAAAAAAATAAATTAGCAAATTTTTCAACTGGATACAAAAATGCAACTCAGAAAAATTAATATTAAAAAATGATCAGTTTTATGTGGATTTTTTGCCTTTTTTTCCATATTTTTATTATAAACATTATTAAATAAAATAGATAAACTGTATATTTTTACTGAAGATTTAGTGTCAAAGTTGAGAGATTAGGACACTAAGCTAAACCAAAACCTAAGCCAAATGCACCTTCATTTTAAATTTTATTATTGCTTTTGATATTTTAAAAGAAATTAAGAGAAGTTAAATTAAGAAAATTAAAAGAATAAAAATTTAAAATAAATTTAAAAGTTTAAAAATTAGTATTAACAAATAAACTTTGCATAAAAGCAGTAAGAAAAAAAATTCAATTAATTTTTTATTTATTATTCGATTACTATTCCAAATTAAAAATTAATAAAACATGCTTAAAAGTTAATTTACTGAAGATTAAGAGTTAAATTAGAGAGTTTAGTGCATTTGGCTAAACCAGAACCTAAGTTTGAAGCACCATTTGAACCTATTAAATTTTTGCTTTTAGTTTTTATTTAAAAAATAAATGAGAGAAGTGTTATTTATAATCAAACAAATAAAGAAGAATTAAAGTAAATTAGAAATAAATTTTTGTACCCACTGAAATTTTGTTTCTGACTGAACAAATTAGGACTCAAATTAAAACCAGAACCCAAATCTGACCTAATATTTTAAAAATTATAACTAATGTATTAAAAAGAAAAAAAGAAGTTAAAACTTTGAATTTCTATTTAAAGCTGAAAAACAAACAAACAAACAAATAAAGTACTACTTGATAAAATAAATAAAAAACAACTAATCAATTTACAAATTATTTATTATTTATTTGATTCTTATTTGTAATTAAAATAAAACAAAAATATATTAAAATCAAATAAATAAATAATTTATTTTTACCCAATAAGGTCAAGTATTAAAGTAGAGAGATTAACACATTTACCTAAACTGAAACCTAAGTCTGATGCGCCCTATTCTCCTATTGAATTTTAACTTGTAATTTAAAGAAAAAATTAGTAAGTTAGTTAGTAGAAAAAGCTTGGGGTAAGTATTTATTTAATAGATTTATAAATTAAAAATAAATTTTAAATAATAAAATTAAAACGATCATACGAAGGAGCACAAAAAATAATTAATGTGGAAATTAAACAAATGTAATCAATCATTTAAAATGTTTCATTTTATTTTGCATTTAAATTTATCATTTAATTTATTTATTTATCTATTAGCTTTCATAGTAAAATAATATAAAATATTAATTAAAGATAATAAAATATATATTTTTACTTGAGGTTAAGTTACAAAGTTGATAGATTAGCACACTAAGCTAAACCTGAACCCAATCCAGATACACCCTTATCGTCAATTAAATTGTTACTGTTAATAATTAAAATATATTAATTTAAAATGAAAAATGTTTGATGGAATAAATATAAAAAACATTAAGAAAAATAAATAAAGTAAGTTTAAAAGACTATTTTAAAAATGAAAAATATTTGATTATTTAGATAATTAATTAAACTAATATTTAAAAAAGATTAATGAAATTTTATACAGAAATAAAATAATAGTGAATAATAAAAATTCAATCCTTTCTAATTAAATAAAACAAACCGAACATTATGTATAAATTATTTTTACCTTAGGTTAAGCACCAAATTTGAAAGATTAGCACACTTAGCCAAACCAATACCTAAATCTAATTAGCCCTATTCACTAATCTAATTCGAACTATTCATAAATAAAAAATAGTTATGAAAATATGTATGTAATAAGTAGAGATAAATAAAGAAGGATGGAGGAAAATTTGAAGTTGAAAAAAAAAAAAAATGTTAAATGAATACTTAATAACTAACTACTAATAAGCTAAAAAAAATATTTTTACCAACTTAGGTCTAAAGTTAAAGTTTAGAGATTAGTACAATTAGCTATACCATAACTCAAACTTGATGTACCATTATCTAGAATTGAATTATTACTGTTAAAATTTAGAAAATATGTAAATTAATTAGATAAAAATTATTAATTGATGAAAAAATTAAAATTAATTTATGAAATTAAAAATTTATTAAATAATCAGTCAGACAGACAGAGAGACAGACAGACTCAACGTGAAGAATCAATTAATTATAATAAATATATTTTACATGTTTTTTTATGTAAATTAATTAATTAGTTTATTTTGTTTCAAATGAAATTAAAACAAATTAAAAACAATAAATATTTTTTACTTAAGCTAGAGTTTTAATATGGAGAGATTATAACACTAAGCTAAACCCTAACCCAAACCTGATGCTCCTTTTGCACCAATAAGATTTTTACTTTTAATATTAAAAAAAGTTGAGGGTTAATTTGGATAATATAGAATGAAACTTTTAAAAGAAAAAAAAGATCATAATTATTTAAATTCAATAAAAGTTTAACTCTGAAAATAAATAGTAAGTAAGTATGAATAAATGAGTTAGTTAATTATGTTTATTTAAAAGAGAGAAAAAACAAATAAAAATACAATTTTGGTATTTTTTGTTAGTATTTTTTTAAAATAAAGTGTTTTGTAAATAAAATATTTATACCCACTTAGGTCAAGCGTTAAAGTTGAGAGTTTAGTGCATTAAGCTAAACCAAAACCTAGACCTGAGGCTCCACCATCATCAATTACATTGTTGCTATTAAATAAATATTTTGAGAATTAGCATAAAAAATAATATCTAAAAAATTTTTTAATAAAAAAAATTATAAAAGTTTAAAATTATGTTAATTAAAACAATTAATGTGATATTAAAGTTGAAAGCTTTTATATAAGATTAAAAATAAAAAAGTAATCAATTTAATCTAGATAATCAATCAATGCAACATAATTAAATTAGAATAAAAGTTATCACTAATATAAATATTTAATGTTTCTAAAATGTTTTTTTATTGAAAAACTAATCAGGTTATATAATAAATATAATTTTTTTATAGAAAAAGCAAATAAATTATTTATACTATAGATAAAGTGTTAGTGATGAAAGATTGGTAAGTTAAGGTAAAACAGAACCCAAGCTTGATGCACCTTATGCACTTATTTAATTGTTACTTTTTAAAAAATAAATGTAATTTAATACGAAATAAATCTTAATCAGAAAATTAATGAGAATAAAAGTAAAAAAATATTAATTTTATATAAACAACTAAATTTGAAAAAAATATAAAAGAGAGAGCCCAGACAAATCAATAAATCAAATAAAATTTAAACCTAAAAAAACAAACTGAAAAGTTTGCAAAATTTTTTACTAATTTAATTAATTAATTATTTGATTTAATTTTTAAAAGTAAAATAAATAAATAAATACACAAACTAAGTAAAAAATAATAAACTATTTTACCATAGGTCAAGTGTTAAAATAGAAAGATTAACACACTAAGCTAGTCCAGAAGCCAAACTTGATGCCCCATCATCATTTATTGAGTTTTAACTATTAATATTTTGAAAAAAACATTTGAGTTAATTTTAAAATGCTTGAAAATAATCAAGGAAAAAAATAATTTGAATTAAAAGTATAAAATTTTAATTAAAAAAACTGAGGATTAAATGCATGTGAATTAATTAATATTCAAGCATTGTAAAGTTAGATGACAATAATAAATTAATCAATCATATTAGTTTTTAAATATTCTTAATTCGAAACTCATTCGTAATAAATTGTGTATTCAATTCAAAAATAAAATAAATTGTTTTAAAAAAGGAGGGTGGGGAAAGATAAAAGGGTTTAAATGAAACTATTTAAAATAGTATATGGGTACAGTTTTGGATTAACCTCTTACATTCCACCTCCCGATTGTCCCCCCTTAAATTAATATATTTTTACTCAAGTTATAGAGTCAAAGTTGAGAGTTATTTGCATTTAGCTAAACAAGAGACCAAATTTGATATACCTTATGTGCCTATTGGATTTTTACTTTTTAAATTAAAAAAAATTTAAAAGTTAATATAAAAATATTTAGAAAAAAAAGAAATAAATTTGGACATTATAAAAAGAATATAATTATCAATCATTTTAATGACTGAATAATCTCAATATTTTTAAACAGCTTGCATTCTTTCTACTAAATTTACATTTTTAACATCTTTTTTTTCAAAAGAAACTGCCAAAAGAATTATTTTACTGAAGATTGATTTTCAAATTTGAGAGGTTAATGCACTTTGCTATGCCAAAACCTAATTCCTATGCTCCTTACATACTGATTAAATTATGGCTTTTAAAATTCGTTAAAGGACATTTTAATATGAAGAAATTTCGAAAAAAATAATGTAGTAGTTGAAAATCAATTAACAAATGAAAATCTGAAACAAAAAACTTAATAAATTAGTAAAATGAATAAAGCATAATTAATTAATAAATAAATAAAATACTATTTTTTAATAATTTCAAATTAAAATAGGACTAATTCTTAATAAAAATAAATAAAATATTTTACCTTGTTTAAAGTGTTAAAGTTGAAAGATTAGTGCATTATCCTAAACAAAAGCCTAAGCTTTATGCTCCATTATCACCAATTTTATTAAAACTTTTTTATAATTAGAAAAATATATAAAAAAAATTAGAGAAATTTAAAATAAATAGAACAAAATGCTAATTAAAATTTAAAAAGCTAAATTATATTTAAGAAATATATTGAAAATTTTTAGTATAGTTTTAAAAATAAATTTTAAGTTATTTTGACCAAAAAAATAAAACATCGAAATGTATGTTATCACCTAACATTGATCAATATATCTATGTGTTAAGATAGCCGAGAGTTAAGTAACTTTTTAAATTAAAAAAAATAAAATATTAAAAATTTATAAATGTTTAATTAATTACATCTTCGAGGCTATAAAATTAATCTATTTTCTTTTTCATTAAATTTATTTTTATGGATTTAATAAGTAAATTTTTTTAAAGTTGATTAATTAATTATTAGAATTCAAAGTTATTTATTTTGTTTTTTGTTTATTGATTACAAATAAGGCAGATAGATGCAAAGAAAAATTTATTAATAAATTATAAATTAAAATGAGATATTAAAAATCTATCTTTACTTTTTGAGAATTTTAAAAATAAAAACTCATTTTTTCATTATTATATTCTCTTTAAATCATTTTTATGTAAATCCTATTAAAATTCTAACCAATAATAAAAAAATCATTATTAACCATTTCAAATTTGAGCTGTCAAATTCTCGAGTTGATAATTTTTTTGCGAATAGAGTAATAAGATTAAAAATTATTTAACGAATAAAAACTTAATTTATATTTATAATAAAAATAAATTCTTTCAAAATTTATTAATATTGAATAAATGGAATAAAATATTTATTTAATACTTTCATCAAACAAATTAAAACAAATATTTTTACAAAATATTAAAAAATAAAATATTTATTGATCAATTTCAAATTTACTAATTCATGAATTAAATATCAATATTATTAGAATATTTTTAAAGAATTTCTTTCGTTAATTAATTAATTAAACTATTATTTTCTTTGCTTTTAGGTCTAAATGAGTTATTATATCTTTGTTTTCTTTTTATTAATTCTAATTTCAATTAATAGCGTCCTTACAAAATTTTATAATAATTTTATTTTTAGTTAGTTTCCAATTTAAAATCTCTACCAAATTTCTAATAATTAACATATTATTGCCATTTTCCTCTCTTATTAAAGGTGATCCTGGATTTCAAATATTATTAATAAAAATTTATATTCTGCATTTATTATTTTTTCATGATTATCTTTATTAGAATTTTTTGATTGATTCTATACATAGTGCTTCAGTTTAAGACTATCAATTTTTTTGATTACCTTAAAATATCAAATTTTTTAAGGTATATTTCTTATACTTTTTGATCAAATTTAATAAAGCATTCCATAAAAAACTTTCTTTTAGATTTCAAAAATGTCTAATCTTATTTTATACAATATTAATTATTCATATAAATTTTAGTTAATTTTATATTGATACTTTAAAAAGATAACATTATACATAGCTTTAATAAAAAATAATCAGATAATTAAAAGTATAAAAAAAATTTTAAAAAGTAAAAAATGAAAATAATTGCCTTTTTATTTGCTATTATTTTACTTGCATAAGTAAATGCTAACAGTCAAACTGTATAATGTTAAATGGATCTTATGGGCTCAGCTAATAGAGGAGAAGTTTGCGCATAAGGAGATACTGACTGTATAGCTGATCTTAAATCTTTAGGAAAATGTACAAACACATGCGCTGTCAATAATAATTAAGATTAGCAAAAGACTACTTCTTGTGTATAATAAAATTGCCCTGTTCAAAATCCAACAGTTCAAAAATTTAAGAATGAATTTATTGGTTGCTTGAAAAATTCAAGTAGTTCAAGTACTTTAGCATTGTCTGGTTTCTTAATTGGTTTATTCGCTATGTTAATTTGAGTATATCTATAAAGCTAGCTATTTAATTAAATATATCTTTTTTTATTGTAAAATATGCATTTAATTTGATATTTTATTGTATTAAATTAGTTAATCAAAAGTAGTGGTCTATATAAATATATATATATATTTTCTTAATTGCTTTTTTGTTTCGTAATTAATTTTGGTGGTAAAGATCATTAAATTAATTAATAAAAAAATATACTCTAAATCTTCATTATTAAGCGCCAAACAAATAGAGAGAGAGATATGAAGGGGGACAGTAATAAATTTACATATATACTGTAATTCCTCAAAAAAATGGGGGTTGAGTCAGGTCTCTGACTATCTAATATATGATTCCTAATAATCTCAAGCACTCAGTTTGTGAAATTACTCTTTAAAATAACCTAAATTCTGTAAGTCTTATTGGGAATAGCACTGCTATCTAAGAAGTATTCATGAGAATTGCTGAACAGTTTAAAGCAATGTTTAGAAGATAAGCTTTTTTATAATGGTATACAAATCAAGGAATGGATGAAATGGAATTTGCAGAAGCAGAGTCAAATGTGCTAGATTTAGTTTCTGAATATTAATAATATTAAGATATGTTTGTTGATTAAGAAGAATAAGAAGAAGAGTCTCAAAATACATTACAGACATGTGATAAAGGCTAATATTGAAAACGTTAAATAAATTTCTAAATATTTAATTAAAATACTCATTGTATTTTACTAATTTTAGTATTTAAACAAAGCCTTGCTAGAATTTCTGAATAAAAACAAGCAAAAATTATAAAAAGGAGTTTTAATAACACATTTTAATTAGTAAAACTTAATTAAGAGCAATTAACATGCAATTTCTATTTATGATAAGCAAAATTTAGTTTTTTGATTTTAGCTTAATGCCTATATTTTTTTATAATAGTATTCTATAATAAAAATATTAAAAATAGATATTGATTAATAATATCATTAATTTTATTTAGGATGAATATTAAGATTAATTACCACATTTTGCATAAAAATATATCAAAAAACTATTTATTTTCTAAGATAGATGGGTTAACTTTGAAATATTTTATACTTATATTTTTTATAATAGTATTCTATAATAAAAATATTAAAAATAGATATTGATTAATAATATGATTAATTTTATTTATGATGAATATTAAGATTAATTACCACATTTTGCATAAAAATATATCAATAAACTATTTATTTTTTAAGATAGATGGGTTAACTTTGAAACATTTTAAGTAAATTTAATTGCCAATAAAGAGTTGATTTTTTAAATTAAAAAAGAATATTTTCAAATATATTTAGAAACATTATTAAAAACAAAAATATAAATATATAGTATATTTTACTTTTACTTTATTATTTTTATATTTTAAAAATTAATAATCTATATCATGAGCAATTGATAATACTTTTCACCAAACTCTTCATTTTAAGAATTAATTTTCTAAACGATTAATCAGCTTCTTAATCATATGAATACACACTTTTAGATTTAAATAAAATAAATAAGTGAACTAATGTTAAGTGAGTTCTGAGAATGAATATATTAAAATAAAAGCAGTGGAAATAATTAAAATATAAGTGTTAATTTAAACTAAAAAAAAATATGAGAAATCATATTAATTTTTTGTTAACAAATACGTAAATAAATAATCAAGAAAATTAATGCTAAAAAATTTTTAATAGTATTTTCTTTAGTTAATCGCCTTTCAAAAAAAAAAAGAAAGAAATTTAATTAACTATTTTACTCATTAAGATTTAATAAGTGGCATCCAAACGATTAAATTTTTTTATGGCATCTTGCTATACTTAGATGACAGAAAATACTGATATTTATCTATATACTTTTCTTTTACTTTATATATAGCTTTAATTTCCTTTTAAAAAACCAACATGGTATGGTGTAGAGAGGTTTATGTTTCGAGAGTTATCTATGCATAAATATATTAATTATAAAAGGGAATAATTGTTTGTTATATGAAAATTCATCTGTCATTAATTACTAGTAATTATTGTAAATCCTTCTCATCTAAATTTTACATATATCACACTCCAAGAATAAAAATTGAAATGCACTTAAAGCAAGCTTTCAAGTGTATATACAAAATTAAAATACACCACCAGCAAATAAATAGTGCGAATCTGATATCAAAAAGCTATTGATTATATATTTCATAATTTTAGAATTTTTATTATTATAAGAATAAAATTAAAATTCCTCACACACAAATCAATCACATTAATTTATAAAAGAACAAACATTCTTGCTTAATAAAAAATCTGATTATGTTTGACAACAGAATTTATAAGACATTTCTTAATTCTACCATTAATTATCAAAAACTAAAAAAATTAATTCATATTTTTTACAAGTTTTCCAAAACATTCTAAGCAAAAAAAAGAATGTTTTGGATGGATTTCATTAATTTTTAAATTAAAAATTATTTTTTCTTTGTACTTTATTCTTTTTTCAATATGGAAAATTTATTGAATATTTGGTTTTAAATAGTTAAAATATATGATAAATTCTGAATTATAAAAGAGAAAAAAAAATATGAATAAAAAAAATAAGCGAATTAATTTTAATCTCCATTAATTATGCACAATAAAAATAATGTAACATTATTAAAATTTTGAAGAATTCTTCCCTTTTATTCACTGCAAAATTAATTTTACTGATAATGCTTGAGTTTAAGACTTTGATTAACTTATAATATCAAATTTTTTAAGGTATATTTCTTATGCTTTTTGATCAAATTTAATAAGCTTTCTATAAAAAATTTTCTAATAGATTTAAAAAATGTCTAATATTTTATGCAATATTAATTATTCATATAAATTTTAGTTAATTTTATATTGATACTTTTAAAAGATAACATTATACATAGCTATAATAACAAATAATCAGATAATTAAAAGTAAAAAATAAGTATTGAAAAATAAAGAAATGAAAATTATTGCCATTATATTTGCTATTATTTTACTCGTAAAAGTAAATGCTGACGGTCTTTGTGTACAATGCTAAAAATGCTAAAAGGATCTTATGGAGTCAGCTAATAGAGGAGAAGTTTGCGCAAAAGGAGATACTGACTGTGTAGCTGATCTTAAATCTTTAGGAAAATGTACAAATACCTGTGTTGTCGATAATAATTATGATTAGCAAAAAACTAATTCTTGTGTATAACAAAATTGCCCTGTTCAAAATCCAACAGTTCAAAAATTTAAGAATGAATTTATTGGTTGCTTGAAAAAGTCAAGTAGTACTCTAGCATTCTTTGGTTTCTTAATTGGTTTATTCGCTTTGTTAATTTGAGCTTATTTATAAAGCTAGCTATTTAATTAAAAATATCTTTTATTTATTGTAAAATATGTATTTAATTTGATATTGTATTGTATTAAATTAGTTAATCAAAAAATCAAAAGTAGTGGTCTATAAAAATATCTATATATATTTTATTAATTGATTTTTTGTTTTGTAATTTATTTTCATCAAAATCACAAAAAAATCAAAAAATAAACCTTTTTTAATTGTAAATTTCCTATTGTGTTTGATAAAATATTAAAATAATAACAATTTAATTAAGGCATTCAAAAAAAATGTTATCTGAAATTTATAAAATATTTAACTTAATTTTATACCATTTTAATGAATGATTCAAATGCATACATACACACTACGTATTTCTATATCAATACTTTAAAAACATGATAAATTTTACATGACTTTAATAATAAATTATCCTGCATAAAAATAAAGAATGAAAGCTATTGTAATTTTGTTTGCTATTATTTTAATAATAAAAGTAAATGTTAATAGTAAATAAAATAGCTGTAATATTAATATGATCTTAAGACCTCAGATAATATAGATAGATGAAGTTTGCCAAAATGGAAAATGACAGTATAAGTGAACTTAAATCTTTTGGATAATTTACAGAAAACTAATTTTATCATAAATAGTTAACATTAGAAATAAACTACATCTTGATTGTGTTGATTAAAATTGCGCTGATACAAATCGATTTATTCAAAAATTTAAGAAATATTTTTTTGATAGCTTGAAAAATACAAGTAAGTTGTTTAGTTTCTTTTTAGCTTTCTATATCTTTTAATTAATTAGATCTTATTAAAAATATCATTTTTTAAAAGTAAATGTCAAATATAAAATTAAATTAGTTAATCAAAAAGTTTCTATGTTTTCTTAATTGCTTTCTTGATTTTGTAATTTTATCTAATCTAAACGCTATTAAATCAAAAATATTGAAAAATATCTAATACATATTGGTGGTAGATATCATTAAATTAATTAATAAAAAATATACTCTAAATCTTCATTATTAAGCGTCAAGCAAAGAGAGAGAGATATGAAGGGGGACAAAATTTTTTTTAAGGCTATGAGATGGTAATATAGTATTTTTTGATATCTTTGTATGAGATTTTACGATGATTTTAGAATCTCTTTTTCAAAATGTCTGATCAAATATTTTGCATTAAATTCAGATTAGGGTTTTGATCAAATCAAATTATTTATGATCAAATTTTTTTTCAAAAATAAATTTGACTATTTATTTATACTAATTAATTACGAATATTTTTTTATTATTTTATATTTAAAAAGGGCAAGTAGAGGATCGAGAAAACTTTTTTAAGTTTTCACAAGAAATTGATCAGAAATAAATGAAATGTAAAATTTGATAAAATATTAATTGACAAAAAAGATTAAATTTGATATTATTAATTAGTTAATAAATAAATTATTATTTTTATGTTTATTTTGCAATTAAATTTAAAATCTAATTCTTAAAGCAATTTTGATTTTATTATCCTCTCATTTTTAATTATTCTTTAGTCGTCATGCAATCAATATAAACGGATCAAATATATTTCAATTTCTATAAAAAATATTTATATTTCAAAAGAATTCGTAGCTACTTACTTACTTATTTAATTACACTTAGAGAGATATTACTTATAATTTTATATTTTAAAAGTGCATAAAATAATTATTTTAAAATATTTATAATTTTTTAGTTCTAAAAACAAAAAAAATTTATTCGTATCTATTTGTTTTAAATAAAATAAAGTTATCAAAATTTTATATCTAACAATTTTTATTTTAAAATAAATAAATAAATTAGTTAATTAATTTAAATATAAAATACAAAAATTTCTAAACAACTTAATATTTTTATTATTATTAATAAATCTATTCGATAAAAATTTTAATAAAGGAAAGATAATAAAATGTAATAACAATAAAAATAAATAATTGATAATCTAGAGAAAGTAATTTATTATTTTTATATATACTATTTATTAATTATTATTTATAACAAATCAAAAGCTTTAAAGCTGTGACTTATCATCTCAGATAAATCTTGAAATTTAATTAGAGTAACAATATTATTTTTATAAAATTAATTATTTATAAAAAACAAAATTTTAGTATTACTTTCTAATTGTATGCTTATGCTCATTCATTCATTCATTCATTTAAAAATATAATTATTCATGTTTAAATTTTTATTTTTTCATCTTTATAACTTTTATTTTACAGGATTTTTTAATATTTATTTAAAATTACTTTTTTTCAAAATAACTAAAAATTTAATTTCTCAAATTTATTAAAAGGCACAAATAATTAGGTAATAGGGGTGCATCAAACTTAGGTAACTGCTTAGAAAAATGTACTAATCTCTCAGCTTTATCACTCCATCTTTTGTAAAATAGATAGTTAACTTTTTATCTTTTGAGAAAAAAAAAACGAAAAAGAAAATATAAATAAAAAAGTAGTTTACTATATTTTTTTTAAATAACTAATCTTAGTTATGACTTATTAATTACTTCAATATTGTATAATACACATTTATTTATTTATTATATTTTTTTAAGATTTGTTTATTTATTTTTCCAATTTAGATTATATTTTAATTTTAAATAATCAATTCTTTTTTTCATTTAAAATAGTTTTTATTATTTTAGCTAAAAAAATACTTTTATAAAATTAAAAGGAGCAATTAAATTTAAGACAACGGTTTTTCAAATTTAGGTTCTGCTTTTACAAAGCTATACAATCTTACAACTTTGGGACTCTATCTTTCGTAAAATAGTTTACCTGCTTTTATAACGATTTGCTTTTTATTTTAAAAAAATCAAATATTAATTATAAAAATTCAAAATATTTAAAAAATTTAATATTACTTAATATATACTATAAATCCTTATAGATCAGCGCATATTCTACATAGAAACATGCCATTCCGATTAATATTATTCAAATAAAATTTTTCTCTATTTTTTTTTGGTGTGTTAGTTTATACTTTAGGATTTATAGTAGATACATGTTATTGCAGAATATGCCATAACTAACATCATTTAAAAATTATAGAAAAAATAAAATTGCAAGATATTTATTTTTTGGCGTTCATTTTAATTTATCTTTTAAAATCTAATTTAAATTTATCATTTTTAATAATTAAAAAAAAATATTTTATTTAAATTAACTAACAAATTTATGTCAAATATTTTAAAAGGTTCAATTAAATAGGTCCATAGGGTGCATCAGAATTTGCTTCTTCTTTAGAAAAATGCACAAACCTCTAAAAATTTAGACTTGGATTAAAGTAAAAATAGTTTATTTAATTAAGTATCATTCTTTTAAAAACATTAATTATTAAGAAATTATTTAAAATATTTTTAAAAAAACTTGCACATTTTAATTATTTATTATAAATTTTCATTTGTTTTAGCAATTTGTTTATTTATTGTTATCACCTTCATTAATTTATCTTTTAAAGTTTAAATTTTAATTTAAATTTTCTATTAATTTTTATTTTGACAAATTTGTTTAAATAACGTGATTTATATTTAAAAAATAATCTTCATATTAAAGCAAGAATTAAATTGGCGTTTATGGTGCTTCACAAATAGGTTATGCTTTAGAAAAATTAAAAAAACTCTCAAACTTGATACTCTACTTTTAGTAAAAATCTCTAATTGATTAATAAAATTTTTTTGTTTATTTTTTAAATTACAAAATATGAAAAAGAAACGTTTGAAAATTACATATTTTAATTAGGAGTTTTTATTACATCCTCTTTATTTTTACTAGCTTAAATATTTATTTATAATTTAAAATTTAGTTTTATTCATATTAACTAAAACAATTTTTTCACATTTACTTATGAATTAATTATTTGATCTCAAAAATATAAATAAGGTACAGTGAAATTGGTGCTTAAGGAGCAAAAAACTTATGCTCTAGCTTAGCTAATAGCACAAATCTTTCAATCATAGAGCTTGACTTCTAGTAAAATGCATTATTTGTTTACTAACATTTGGGCTATTTATTTGAAGAAAAAAAACTACTTAACATAATTTTCCTTAATTAATTCATAGATACCCACCTTTATAATTTTATACAAAAATTTTAGGTATCATAATTTTTAAAAAAATTGTAGAGCATTATGTAAAGTTTAAATTTAGGAGAAACTACGTAACTTAGAAATAACATAAAATTTATATAATTTTACATGTTTTTTTTCTATAATACAATTTTTTGGTTATGTATTATGAACTGATTTATTTATCATTTCATATTTTAATTTTCAACTTATAAAAAATAATTGCTTTATTTCAATTAATAAACCTACTTTAAATAAAATAAAAGGAGCAATAAAATTGGTTTATAGGGTTCATTGAACTTATGCTCTGCTTTATAAAAGTGCACTAAACTCTCAACTTTGAAACTCTACCTTAAGTAAAAGCTTATTTTTTTTATTAGATATTTAAATCTCCTTTTAAAAAAGATACCTACTAATTACTAATAAAAATACATCAAATATTTTTAAAAATTTATAAAATTGATTTCAATATTAAGTATCATTTTTGATATACGCGTGTTTAATCATTACGATTGATTAATTAAACTTATTCTTTTTTATTTAACAAAATTTGCTATAATAACTAAAAATTTATCTATTATAAATTAAAAGTGAAAATTTATTTGGTAGAGTGTCTGCATAAAGCTTAGGTTCAGCTTTAGGGAAATTCGACCATCTTTTATCATTGACGCTTGAAGTTATGTAAAAAAAATTATTTGTTTGTTTAATAATATTTGAATTATTTTTTTAATGAAGACTCTAATTAATTCCTTAAAAAGCACTCAAAATATTATAACATTGCAATTTATTTTTATTGTTTTTTACACATATTTATTTATTTATTTTCTTTTTCTCATTTTTATTTTTATCACTTGAACTTTAAATTACACTTTGTTTGTTTTTTCATTCATATTTAAAGCAAATTTACCTGCAGGAATTAATGAATTTATGTAAAATTAAAAGGTGGAATGATATTGGTGACGAAAGTGCATTATAATTAGTTTCCGGTATAGTAAAATGTCCTAAACTCTTATCATTGAGTCTCGAACTTCTGTAAAAAAGTTTATTTTTATTATTAACATTTGTTTTATTTCTTTTGAATAAAACTTTAATTATTTAGAAAAGAATAAATATATTTAATATTTTATAGTTGTTTTTAACTATTTAACTATTATTTAGTTCTTCTCTTTTATTTATTCATTAAGCTTTTAATTTATTTAAATATCTTTTTAACTAAAAATTTTCATTTAAACTTGAAAATTATACTAGTCTTTGTTTTAAATGTTTTTTTAAATATAATTAAAAGATTGAATGAAATCAACTCTCCTTTAAGAATAATAGCTAAGGCTCTGAAAATGAAGAGACTAGTTCATTGCAACGTATCTTGTTGATGAATAATAAATAATTATTTAGCTGATTAATTATTTGTATTCTAATAAATAAATAATAAAATAATTCCTTAGGTATTTAGTATTGAATAATATGACAAGAATATAATATTCCTTTGATTTAGATGAATAGAGATTTTAATTATTTTTTCATTTTTATCTTTTAAATAATATTATTCTGCTTCATTAAATTTTAATACATTTTTAAATATTTTTTTATCTTCTTTAACCAACTTATTATTAATTGAAACCTTCTTTTTCATATCCTTTTCATTTTTAATTATATTTTCTAAAATTATACCCTCTTTTTTTAATTTTTTTGTTAGATCTGCTTTCCACACAAAAAATAATTAAATTTACTAAGGGATTTATAAAAATTAAAAAAATAAAAATTTTAAATAAACTTCTTTCGTTTTAGAATTTTTTCTTAAAAAATTGAATTATCAAACAAATACCTATTAAAAAATGAACTAAATCACACAAAAAATAGATTTTCAATTTTCTTTTTATTTTATTTGATGAATTTGTAAAATCTTTCATAAATAAATTAATTAATTCAGATATTAAATATCATTTAAACAACTTAATATTTTTATTATTAAAAAATCAATTAGATAAAAAATTTATTAAAAAAAGATAAGATAATAAAATGTAATAACATTAAAAATAAAAAATTAATAATCTAGAGGAAGTAATTTATTATTTTTATATTTACTATTTATTAATTATTATTTATATCAAATCAAAAGCTTTAAAGCTATGACCTATCATCTCAGATAAATCTTGAAATTTGGTTATAGTAAAAATATTTATATTTATGTTTAAAATTTTTTCAAAAAATACAAAAATTTAATTTTACTTTCTAATTGTATTCTTTTGCTTAGTCATTTAATTAAAAAATTATTCATGTTTATATTTAGCTTTTTAATTGTTTAATCCAACATTGATTTTCCAAGATTTTTTAAAATATTTATTTAAAATTATTCTTTTTCATAAAAATTAAAAATATCTTCTCAAATTTATTAAAAGGAACTAAAAAATAAATGAATTGGGTGCATTAGACATAGGTAATTGCTTACAAAAATGCATTAATCTCTCAACTTTAGTACTCTTCTTATCGTAAAAATTAATTGTTAATATTTGAATAGATTTTATATTGTTTCTTTTGGAAAAAAAAATAATGAATAAGAAATTATTCAAAATATAAATGACGTAATATATTTTTATATTACTATTCTTAATGATGAGCAAGCAATTAACTATTCCTATAGTTTTTGTTACATTTACTTACTTATTTTTTACATATTTGTTTATTTAAATTTTCGACAATTCTTTTTTTCATATTAATTTAAAATATTATTTTATCTAAAATATATTTTTATAATATGTTAAAAGGGATAATTAAATTGGAGATAAGGGTATATCAGACTTAGGTTCTACTTTTACAAAGCTCAGTAATCTCACAATTTTGAAATTATGGCTTCCGTAAAATATTTATTTGATTTTCTTTAAATAATGTTTTGCAATCTATTTTAAAAAAAGCAAATACTAATTAAAATACTGCAAAATATTTTAAAAATTAGATACTTTATTTGTAAATATCCACTATATTAATATTTCTCTTTTATTATTATTTAAATCACCATTGATTACCATTAGCTATCTTGCGTTTTATTTATACCATACTCAAATATAATTTATTTTGCACCAACCCACTTTTGTACTATATTTACACAATACCCTAATTATACTCTATATGCATCAAGCTCAAATTTTATTTCTTTTACATTATACCCCTATTATAACTGAAATTAAATTTGGATTTTTTTTTTTTGGGTGTTAGTTAGAACATTGAAGATTTATAGTAAGTAGATATACAACTATAGAATATACAATTACCTAGAAAATTTTAAAAATGATAGAAAAAATAAATTTTTATAAATAATAAAATAAAAGTACAAAAAATTTAGTTACATTTTACAAATTGTAAGATAACATTATAATATGTGGCAGGCATATAAATTTATCTTTTCAACTTTAATATACATTCTATTTATATACTTATTATTTATTTTTCTATAATTAAAAAAAAATATTTTAATTAAGTTAACTAACAAATTGATATCAAATGTTTTAAAAGGGTAAATTTAATTGGTGTATAGGGTGCATCAGACTTTGCTTCTTCTTTAGCAAAATGTGCTAACCTTTCAACATTTAAAATTGGATTAAAGTAAATATAATATAATTTATTTATTTATTTTACTAATTAAATTAAGCATTATTCTTTTTAAAATGCACTAATCATTAAGAAAATATTTACAAACTTGCAAATTTTATTATTACATTACTAATTTTTATTTGTTTGTATAAATTTCTTTATTTAATTTTTATTAATTTCACTTTTAAAGTTTAAGTTTTAATTTTGATTTTAATTACAAATTTATTTATTTCAATTAACTAATTACTTTTACCTAATTTATTAAAGCTTCAATTAAGTTGGTGCTTAAGGTGCCACACAAATAGGTCTTGCTTTAGCAAAGTTAACTAAACTCTAAAATTCGTCTCTCTACTTTTCGTAAAATACCTCTATTTGTTTGATACAATTTTGATTGTTTATTTTTTTAAATATTAATTAATCACTAACAAAATATGAAAAACTAATTGCTGAAAGTTTAAAAATCATATTATTTAATTGAAGTTTTTTATTACACCATTATTTGTTTTGATTAGAAAACCATTTATTTTGTAAAAATCCAACAAATTCTATTTTTGGTGTTAATTAATTAAAACAACTTTTTCACATAAACTAATAAATGAGAGAGTGATTTTATATCAAATATATAAACAGGTAGAATCGAATTAGTGCTTAAGGTTTATCAGACTTAGGTTCTGCTTTAGCTAAATGCATTAATCTTTCCACTTTAAAACTTGAACTATCGTAAAAATACTTTATTTGTTTTATCATAATTTATGCTATTTCCTTGAAGAACTATTTAATATAGTTTTTCTTAATCAATTAATTAATAAATACCCCATCTTGATATTTTTTTACAAAATAAATTTGAATTAAAATCTTTATTAAAAAATAATGAATAAATTTAAATTTAAGAGAAACTATGTTACTTAGATATAACTCAAAATATATATAATTTTATATGCACATTGATTTATTTATTTATTTATCTTTTCGGATTTAAATTTGTATTTTAATCTTTAACTTATTATTTTTTTGAAGTTTATTAAAAATAATTTGTTTTATTTAAACAAATCAATTTATCTCAAATAAAATAAAAGGGACAATAAAATTGGCGTATTGGGAGCAACTAACTTATGCTCTGCTTTATAAAAGTGCACTAGTCTCTCAACTTTGAAACTTTGCTTTAAGTAAAAGTTTTTATGCTTATATCCATATTTATAGCTTCTTTTTAAAAAAAAATAATTTATAATAAAACGCATCAAATATTTAAAATATTATTAATTTTGATTATATTATTATTAAAATTTTTAATATATATATGTGTACTTAATGATAATCATATGTTTTTATTTTAATTTAAAACTATTCTATTTTCATATTTAATTGATAAAATTTGCTATAATAACTAAAAATTTATCTTTAATACATTAACAGCTTAATATCATTTGGTAGTGATTCTGCATAAAGCTTAGGTTTTACTTTAGCTAAATTTGACCATCTTTTATCATTGACACTTAAGGTTATGTAAAAAGAGTTTATTTACTTGTTTAATTAATACTTGCATTATTTTTTAATAAAGACTCTAATTACTAAGAAATAATTATAACATTACAATTTATTTTTATTTTTTAATTACACTTATATGTATATTTATTTACTAATTATTTCATTATATTTTTAATTTTTAACCATAGACTGACTACATATTATTGTTTTTTTCGTTTATATTTACAATATTCTACTAACATAAATTTATTTCAAATTAAAAGGTGGAATGGTATTGTAGATTAAAGTGCATCAGACTTAGTTTCCTGTTTAGTAAAGTGTACTAACCTCTTATGTTTGACTCTCAGCCTTGAGTAAAAATATTTTATTTTATTATAAATAATAGATGTTTATTTCATTTGAATAAGACACTAATTATTTAGAAAATATGCAAATTATTAATCTTGTCTTTTTTTTATTTAACTATTGTTTGGTTTTTCTCTTTTATTCATTTATTATCTTTTTAACTAAAAATTTGCATTTGAACTTGAAAATTATACTAGTTTTTGTATCAAATTTTATTTTAAATATGATGAAAAGTTATAATAATATCAAATCTCCTTTAGAATTAAAAGCTAAGGTGCTAAAAATGAAGAGATTAGTTAATCACAGAGTATCTTATTGATAAATTAATAATTATTAGGATAACTAAATGCTTTAATATTTTATTACAATGAATTTGAAAGTATGAAATTAAAGTCTGATAGTATGAACTTAATTATTATTCATAAAATTAAAACTAATAATTATTATAATTGATGATTGCTTAAATATGCGAAATCTATATATTTTTATTTAATATGTTTCTTATCCTTATTTAAATTTTTTAATTATTATTAAAAAAAAGACTCTTTATCACAAAATTTATTTTTGGCATTCAGCACAACAAAGATAAAAAGTAAAATACAAAAAAAATAGCAGTATTAATTTTATTTAAATTTTCAATATGTATTATTGATTATTTAATATAAATGAAAATAGCAAATATTGATCAATAAAATTCTATCCTTTTGAATACCAATGTCTTCATTTAAAGAATTTGTTTTCTAAATTTTTCTCTTTATGCAGAGCTAATACTGTTGACGCTTTAAATAATAAAAATATTAATTAATTAATTAATTTGTTTAAAACATCAAAGAAAAGTGAATAAAAAATTAAATGAAGTCATATAAATAAATATCACTAGCAATTAATCAATCACAGAAGATCAAAAAATAAAATAAAAAGTTTAATTTGAAATAAAACTCATTTTATAGATTTAATATAATAAATTTACCCAATACCCTCTGATCCATATATTCCATCATCATAGCAATAATCAATTCTATTTTAGATTTGAAAAAATTTTTGATTTAATTGTCAGTAAAACAAAAAGAATAAACAAAAAAAATAAAGATTGTATTTGAAATAAAATAATTTAAAATAATAAAATCTAAAATAATAAAATTATTTTTAATAAAGAATATTTTGATTATAGAAAAGAAGCTATTTTTACCCAAATATAAGAACTAAATTTTAGAGTTTTGAGTTATTTTTTAAAGCTTAACCTAAAATTTATACACTACTATCATCATATATGAAATTTTCTCTTTTTAAATTAATTAAATTATTATTTTTGTTTAAAAATCAGAAGAAATAACCATAGAGTATTTATTTAATAAAATTAACAAGAAATAATAAATAAATAATTAGCTTTAAATAAATTAAAAAAAATTAATTTTTTAATTGTTTTTTAATAACACAAACAAATAAAATAAACATCAAAAATGAATTAAGAAAAAGTAGTTTTTTACGAAATATCTAGTATTAAAGCATACAGATTTTTGCACTTTGCTAAAGAGCAACCTAAAGTTTAAAAACCTTAATCACCAATTCTATTTTCTCTTTAAAATAAATTATTCAAAAATGTAAATGAGAAAAAGAATTAAATTGTAAAATATAAAGTTAAATAAAGTGAATAAACAAACAAACAATAAATATCCTAATAAATTAATAGTAACGAAAATTTGAATAATTTTACCCTATTAAAAGTTTTAAAATTTAGAGATTAGAACACTTTGTTAAAGCAGTCGCTAAACTTGATACACCCAAATATTCGATACAATTTTACCTTTTTATTTATTTGGATTTTACATAAATTAAAAATTAAACTGAAAACTATATTCAAAATATTAAATTTAAGTTGAAAATAAATATTTAAACAAAGCAAGAATTTATTTATTAAACAATAAAATACATTAAAATAAACTAATTTTCAATATTATTTTATTTTAATTTTCCAGCTAAATAATTAGCCAAACATATTTTTATTTATAAAAAAAATAATTTTACTTAAGTATGAGTTCAATTTTTAAAATCTAGTTCCAATTTTGTATAGAAGAAGCTAAACTTGTAGTAATATCATCATTTAGTCTATTTTATCTAATTATAAAAATATTTAAAATCAATTAAAAAATAAAGAAAATGTAGAGAAAATGAGTGATAAACAAAATCATAAAATTTAAATTTCTACATAAAATTGCTAAGAAGAACAAACAAATTGATTTATAATAATTTATTAAATAGACAAGGATTATTATTAGATTTTTTAAATTTTCAACAAGCTTTTACTGTAAGTAAAGTTATTTTCTAATAATTTTCTATAATTATTTAATTCTATTAAAAAATTGATTATAATCAGATAATTTTAATAATTCTATCAAATACTTATTAGTTAGTTAGTAATATTAATAAATAAAAATCCTTTAACTTTCAATCAATTTTTCTTTAAAAATTATTAAAAAAATTTGATATTTAAATGTGGGCGAAATTAATTATGTACTCTTCATCGAAAATATTTTCTTTAATTTATTTCAAAACATTTTGAATAGTTTCATGAGTTAGCTAGCTGTTAATATAAGTCTATTTTTAAAAATAAGCACCAAAACTGTCAAATAGAGTTTTATAAATGATTATTAATAAGAGGCTATTTATTATGCTATGTAAAAATATAAATAGAGATTTTGGTATGGTTATTAATTTTTGTTGCTATTTTTTGTCTATAAATTTAATTTCATTTTA